CTGACAAATATGATGGGAATGAAGGCAAGAAACCTGATGCAGCAACGGCCAGAAAGAAGCAGGTCTTCATCGAACTCGACTTCAAAGGCGATGATATTATGGGAATCATAAATAAAGGATTAAAACCCGTCCAGGATGTATCCTGCAGCAAAAGTAGTCTCTCTGCTCCGAATATCTTCCTCGTTGGTGCGGTCAAAGATTAACAAGTACCCTTCATTTGTTACTTCCAACTGTGTATACTAGTTCTTATTTATCTGCGGGAGCAGGTAAATTGGAAAGCAGAAAGAAGGTTCGACGTCAGAATCTTCGAACATGTGTCAAGGAGTTTCTGGTTAAACGAGGCAAACTGTTTAAGCTCTTAAATCACCAAATACCTGATAGACAGAGGATAAGAATTAAACCCGCTGGCATCATTCGAAATAATTAACAGAAAAAAAGACTGTAGTCTTCCTCAGTTTCCTTAGGCTACCTCAATAAAATGGTGGCAACCTGACGTGTGTCCAAAAGGAGTCTATCGTTGAACTTCCAGTTTCATTAACTTGTCTTTTTACCTCATTTTTCTCGTCTGAATTCCATAAGAGATAATGTTTCTTGACCTTTTAAGTTCTCTACTCACCTTATTACATCATCATCTTTCCACTTGACATCTTGCACACCAATATTTTCATCTTCTCTTATCTAACGAGGTGAGTGTTACTAATTTTTGTTGCAGCCCTAACAACAAATCTGTCTATAAATTTTTCAGGTTACTCCTGTCTAAGAAGATATATATGTATATGCTGTAATACTTCGGATACCCTATCATCCAAGTGTTTAATCTCACTATGACGCTCTTACAATGTATATATTGATAGACATAAGTATGTTAAAATTTTACATTGAATTGTTGTATTAAAGACTACAGTTCGTACACAGCTGATGAGAAACGATGAAATAAAGTGGATCCATGTTATTCTGCACAAATGTTTGTTCTTTCCCTGCTCAAATTTATAGAAAGGGAATTATTAAACATAAAATGTGTCTATTCCTGGGACTTATGCACTTGTGATTAACATCAAGGCATGACTGAAGGATGGGGCAACATTCTCTGTTTATCTATCTTCTATCCAACATCTACTCGACATTGGCCCTTTAGGCCAGTCTCAGGTCACAAAGTCAGTATCTAGTTTAAAAACGACACAAAATAGAAAAATCCTACTGTATCACTCTAGAGGTATTCAGGGCTGATGGTGTTCAGCGGCTGACTTGATTAACTAAGGTATCATCTAGTATATGTGGATTCAAAATAGTTCTGTCGAACTGCCGAGTTTATCATAAAGGAGAGAAGTATTCCTGTGATAACCACATGAGAATCAAACTGAGGAAAATAACTTTATTGAATTTTGGATTTTCCCGTCGATTGATTGGACCGAAGTGCTCGGTCTCAGGTTGACATGTCGGCTTCTTGAGCAGATGCTTCGACGATGTCTGGGCATTTAATTAGTATTAAATTGGATTAATCGACGGGAAAATCCAAAATTCAACTAAATCAGTATGACCCGTTGCACAAGAGGTGGCTCTCGTGGTCCAAGTGGTCTAGAGGATAACGCTTTGGCGTTTGAAACTAAGGGCACTGGGTTCGAGCCTCGGTGGGAACATCATCACTCACTGAGAAATGCAGGTATATCCAGATGACGAGTCCCAAATAGGACGAAACTGGCATCCTGGATTCCACTGCTAGTCACCATCCACCAATTAAATACTAATTAAATGCCCAGACATCGTCGAAGCATCTGCTCAAGAAGCCGACATGTCAACCTGAGACCGAGCACTTCGGTCCAATCAATCGACGGGAAAATGCAAAATTCAACTAAATCAATATGACCCGTTGCACAAGAGGTGGCTCTCGTGGTCCACGTGGTCTAGAGGATAACGCTTTGGCGTTTGAAACTAAGGGCACTGGGTTCGAGCCTCGGTGGGAACATCATCACTCACTGAGAAATGCAGGTACATGCAGATGACGAGTCCCAAATAGGACGAAACTGGCATCCTGGATTCCACTGCTAGTCACCATCCACCAATTCAATGAGTAAAATAATACCTGATATTTCTGGTCCTACAGTCCTGCGAAGCGCAGTCAGAAATAGCGAAAAACAAATTCAAGAAAATTAGGGGGGCTTTAATCTCATATAAGGAACTATTAATGAAATCTTCTACCTTCCTGCCATATTTCTGACCCTGTCTGTCATCTGATCGCCCAAGTCTTTTCGATCACAGTCTTTATACAGATAATATAATTCATCAAGAAGGAAACTTAGATTTGCTATGCGTAGCTACCTCAATTCTCTCATCAGTCGAAATGTACTCCCAACTTGATACTACACTCTACACTGGATAATTCCGTATTATATTTCTCTACTTGATTATAGACCCAAAAACGGATACAGAATAGTAATGATATCGGACTCAGCACCTGTTATTTTAACCGAGCTTGAGTTTATGAATGACTGGGGATTTATAAACTGGTTTTCAGGAATACCGAACACACCTATCCTCGCCTTTTGCGAGATGAAACCAGAACGCAGTATCATCCTGGGGTGTAGCCACTTGAGACCCCTCTCCCTCGGTGGATAGAAACTTAGGAGTACTGGAAGGGTATCTCTTCCTAGTTTGGGACTCTTCAGCAGTACACACTCAGCTGTATTCGAAACCAAGACCTTTCGGTTACGAGACGAGCACGTAGATCATTCAGTCACTGGGATCCCTTAACATTATCAGGTCAAGGTGCATGCACATGGCATACAGTCTTCTTCAAACCTTGTACACAACCATTGACAGATCTGGCAACAAAAGTCACGAGAATACCATCAGAGCATGTGACGGGCTAGGCACCTTAGTTCTACCTTGAAACCCTATTTTCTACATAGAACGTAAGGGGATAAAATCAAATAAAATACGCTTATAAAAGAATGGGCAATTAGACATAATTTTTGCATACTTTATCTCTGAGCAATTTCATACTAACATTGCGACAAAGTTCTTTCTACATGACTTACCATCTTCAAATGACATTAATTTTGTTAAATATGAATACAACCTGACTGTATCTTTGCCTGTCAAATGTCAAAGTGACTGCTCCAAACTAAATGGCTTTTTATCAGAAATCAGCCAGTGGTCCAAAGAAAACGGTCTTACCTTAAACCCCTCCAAATGCCAAACAGTCAATTTCACCTTTAGGCATAAATCCGACCTAAAAAACTGGTTGGCTCTCACGAGGTGTGCAACATAGATGGCACTGAAATAGAAACCAAGTCGGAAATTAAATACCTAGGCGTCATTCTGCCTGCTGATCTTTCCTGGTCGTCTCATATCTTGACGATTTCTAAGAAAATATTCCGTCTTACCTTCTACATCAAGAAGTTAAAATATTCTGGCATAACCCAACCCTTACTCCTACAATTCGTTAACTCTCGCATTCTGCCTATTATTCTCTATTGTCCCCCCTTAGTTTTTCCCGGGCTACTGAAGAAAGACTATAACATATTACACAGGATGTTAAAGGTTGTCAGCAGGGTAAGCGACGTGCCACTTAACCAGCTTGTTAATATTCTGGTTGACAGGCACTTGGACTCATATGAAAAAGGGCCAAGTCCATTCTGTCTAATTCACACCACCCTCTTCATTCACAACTCTCCTCTTGAATCTCATCAGGCAGGACCAGAAGCCTATATAGAAAACTATATGCTCGCACTAGCAAGTACAAAAACTCAACCATACCCTACTTAGCTCGTATTCTGTGAGATAAAGAAAGCATTAGGCGTCATACCTATAATGTATTGAATAGTCAGTAGAACAACTGGATCTCGTCTTTCCAACTCATATAATTTATAGATACTACATTTTCTTTCATTCTTTTCCTTTTTTCTCTCTCTCTTTTTTTCCGTTTTATGCTGCTTTGTTTCTTTCTCTCGCTTGCGCCAGTAAACATGATAGCACCTACTTTTCTAACAACCTCAAACACTGTTCAATTTTGGCTTTGCTACCGACATGCCAATATGTTGTTGTAAAAATTAGCTGAGACTACCCATAATCTATGTAGAATTTTATTTATTGTTAATGTACTAACTGGATCAAGGGAACAATAATAATAATAATAATAATAATAATAATAATAATAATAATAATATACTAACTGGATGCAATACTGTAGTAAAATGCTGAGAATTCCATTCTGTATCACAAGTACTGTTTTGGAATATAGCAAATTATTATTATTCATCATACTATGGTAGTTTTATTGTCTTGCACTAAAGTTTGTCTATCAAGCAGGCATCGCAGTCACTAAACCAAATGGAACAATTGAGGTTCAACTAGGTGTGAAAAGAGTCCCTCTATGACCTGAATCATGTGAATATCTGAATTTAATAACACGTTATATTGCGGTGGTGTGATAAACCCAGTAGGATTCAACGGAATATTATTCTCACAGTAAGAATTATTGTATTTGTTGGTGTTAACGTTTGAATACTATTCCCACAGTACAGTAATGGATTAGCAATAGAATACTACGTGTATTTGAACATTCTATTTCATGTCGTTTAATTAAAACCAAAATCACGCGTTCAAGGATTGGTTAAAGAATATAAACTGTAAATATATAAATAGCGGTTTGATCATTTGAAGATATACCTTGACCTCCATGTCTTGCTTTCTAATGTTACAGTATGTGCAGTAGTTACGAAAACCGTATGTGAATCAATCTTTTTCTCTACTCGCATTTTATTTTACTTTATAGCTTGACTCCACACAGTATTTTTGATACAAGTATGGAATTTTCAGCATGTGATATGGGTAGCCCAAATTTAGCGGGCCGACCATTGATATCAGTTGTGCGTTGGCCGGGGATCGAACCCCGGACCATGTGTATGGTCGGCGAGCGTCCCAACCGCTGTGCCACCGACGCATGCTGGTTAAGTTGTCATTACTGTTGTATTATTCAAAGAGTTAGCCCGATATGCTTATTATATTATTATATACATATTCAGATCTGTAGATAAATAACTAACCTTCATGAATTGTATCATCTTTCATGGTATCATTACGTAATTCCTTCGGAGAATCTGGTTTTAATTCTGAGTCTGATAACTGTAACTGCTGCTGCTGTTGTTGTTGTTGAACTTGTAGTTGTAATTGCCGCTGTTCTTCTTGTTCTCTTTCTTGTTGTTCCTTTTGTTTTTCAAGTAATTTTGTTTGAATTATCTGTTCACCAACATCTAGACAGATTTGTCTTGCTTGACAGGCTGTATCACTTGTACTTGTTAATAAAGCTTCAATAATAATTTGATTGATATTTAATACAATTGCATTGTATTGCTTAGCCAAACGATTGATAACATCTAAGGTGATATTACAGCAATAATATTTATAATTAGAAGTGCTTTAAAGTTCAAAGGTTATTTAAGGTTTATGCGTGAAAAGCTGATTGATTCCCGAGTGGAATTCGAGACTAACTGATGTTTGTTTCGGGGCTCTTTGGAAGCACGCACTCATGATCCTACAAGGGATCAGGGTGTGTGGGTCGGATTTTGAAGAATTCACTCTTATGCGCTGCTTATTAGCCCGAATAACTAGCGACAGGTGATGAAGTTTGGGATTTATCAAGCTGATTGTAAGAACATTTCCTAACCGCTGATATTGCATGACTATGGCTTAAAGTTTCACTGATCATTGGCTTTCAACTTATAAGTCGTAGGATTACTTCTTCTTTTAGTGATCTGAATGTCCTCAGTTCAATCAATGAAATGGGGTTGCTTTCTGACTTCTGAGTAGTCCGAAATCACGACCAAAACAAATCTAGTTACATACTAATTCCTAATAAATAGGCGACAGATGACTGAAGACTCCTGGAATATGGCGTTGGCATTATATTTTAATATGCTTTACTTCAGATTTTATTCGCCCTGGTGGGAATTCCTCTCTAAAATTGTTTGTTTCCTTCTAAATTGATGATGTCAGTTTTCAAAAGTATGCCTACTTGCACATGTGTAGAGTTTATCTGTCACCCCTTCCCATGCCTAATCAAGACTAACTGACATAAGAGTAAAACTTGTGCACTGTGGTAGAGTATAATTCCATTATGGGTAAAATTTATTTTGATAAAGTCTCACAGTGTTCGTTATACAGCAATATTTACTGATGCCACCACGTTTCGAGCACAATTGATTGCCACTCATAATCATATCAAAGTACTATTCACACAACTTTCTAACTTCTTTTATATAATTTCATAATTTCAATTCGTCGCTTGACTTGATTGGTAGTATTATTTTCCATATTTCGGGTATAAGTGATGAGTAATTCCTATGGCAGGTGTTGTGTTGGGTGTGGACTCGATGAACCAGTAAGAATTCAGTAATCGATCTCTCGATATCTCCACCTACCTATATTATTTCTTAGAATTTTGACTCTGTCCCACCCACTCTATTGTGTGGTTTTGTGATAATGCATGCAGTGCAATCGCTGAGCTATGTTAGATTGCAAAATAAAACGAATAGAAGAAGGTAAACTTCACACCAGCGTTTATAAAAAGCAATACTAACACATTCTAATAGATATTTAGACTTTAATTCATCTCATCCGTAGTCTGTAAACGTAGGCTTAGTTAAATGTCTAACAAACCGAGCAGTAGCACTAAGTAGTACAAGAAAAGACCTAAATGATGAAATGAAACAGATAGAAGAAGCATTGGTATCAAATAACTATCACAAAAAATTTATTAGGAAGATCAGAAAAGGCCAAAAGCAAAATAAAAATCATGGTGAAACTAATAATGATAACATAAATACGACAGAATATAAGGCATCTACAGTAGTTTTACCATCTAAGACCTCTCTACGTAGGATTCTTAATAAAGCAGGAATTAAGTTGGCTTTTAAACTTACAAACTCACTCAAAGAAAAGTTCTGCAGGTTAACGGACCCTGTTGACCCAATTAGACAAAATAATATAATTTCCGAAATACCTTGCAATGAGTGTGAGTTAGGTGAACTACATAGGTCAAACTAGTAGGTCGGGGGTAGTCAGATTGTCAGAACATAAAAATTTAGCTAAGTAAAGTATAATTATATTCCAGTGGTTTACACACAATGATAAGTTTTTTTATTGGTAATATTTCGAGCATAATTACTGCCTGTGTTCACACCACTGTTGGAATTGTTTTGTTCAAAAGAATTGTGTGTAACCCCTTGATATATAATTATACTTTATTTGATCTATTACATAATGCTCAAACTTTTTACTGACATTAATTTAGCTAAGGTTAGGATTGTTGACCCTGTGAACATAAATAATCTAGAAAAATGCTCAGCGATTGCACTGCCTGCATTAACACACAACCACACAATAGGGTGGGTGGAACAGAGTCAAAATTCTAAGAAGTAATATAGGTAGGTGGAAAGAGAGGTTGATTACTGAATCCTGCTTGGTTCATCGAGTCTACACCGAACACGTGCAATAGGAATGACTCATCACTCATACCGGAAATATGGAAAATACTACTACCAATCAAGTCAAGCGATGAAAATTAGTGGAATTATATAAACATAGTCGGAGAGTTGTGTGAGTGAGTGCCTTGGTATGATTATGAGTGGTAATAAATTGTGCTCGAAACGTGGTCGCATCAGTAAATATCACTGTATAACAAAGACTGTGAGACTTTATCGAAATAAATTTTACCCATAATGGAAAACGAAATGACTTCCAGAAGAATTAGAACTTAAAGCGATAGGTTGTGGTTATCACACAAAAAATAACTTGTTAATATTGAAATCACTTAAACATTCTAGGCATCAAAATGTCATAAAATAATCCATTGAACCCCTTTTGAAACCATCCGTTTCTGTTGACAACCAGTGGTAATACGTTCACAATTTGAATCGCACCTAATTTTATTGTAGTTACGTCATATTTCCTGCTTTCTTCGTTGATGGGTGTTTTTATGAAGTATAGCAAGCAGTCTAGATTGCTGAACCTTTTTGAAAATTTCCACATAGTTAATTCAGATCATTTCAGCTACAAGGATCAAGATCAATTATCAATAAGTCGTACTTGTAAACATTTCACTGTTCAATATTCCATGGTTCAATAATTTACTTACTTTGTCTAATAGACTGTAATGCTCCATGCACTAGAATTACAATACCCAGTTGATCTGATTTACATGTTTCTTGATGGGAATCCATACCTAAATATTTTGATAAAGCCAGTGATACAGGTGTAACATCCAAAGTTTGTTTTCCACTAGTGAAAATATTTAAATTTGATAGTTTACTATCTTCACGTTTAATATTATCAAGAAAGAGATCAGACATTGTACTCCTACTGTCAGGTTTGTTACGATCAGATTCACTAGTTGAAGTGTTGTTTGTTGTTGTGGTGGTAGTGTTGGACTTCTTCATATCCTTCCATGATGACGGTGAAACTTCAGAGAACTGAAAAAGAAAATTTTTATAAGTTTGTTTGTATGGCATTGATTTGTTTCAATTTTGACCACAAAATGATATCAGCTAGGGAACCACTGAAAACCAGGACAGAGTTTCCTGGAGTTCTAGTGAGAAGTCGCGGATGACACTGGCTGGTGCCAGCTTTGGTAGAATTCATGGGCTAGCCACTGAACTGGGTCCCAGTGGCTGAATGGTCTACGAGCTAGCTCGCCTTGTAATCAGGAGGTCCTGGTTTCGAGCACTGGTTCTGGGTACTCACTGCTAAAGAGTCTTGAACTAGGACGAAACAGTACCCCTAGGTATTCCAATCATCCTCTAACTGATATCAGTACGTGATCAAACTTGGAAAAGAAAACCATTACGAAAATGTAGGATTTATTAAACGAGATGTGATTATTATTAGTTTCCATATTTCAGTAGTAACGCCACTCATAAGTAGCATATGAAAACAGTCACGCTTCTTTTCAGTTTTGATTTCTAGTACTGTTGAGAAAAATCTCAGAAAAGTTGTTATTCTAGATTTTCTTTGGGGTTCAAGAGGAAAATGGGACTTCTCCAGCAAATTGCCATTACAACCTGTTCTCTCCTGTCCATTTTTGCTGAGTCCGAGATTGCCCATAGGTCTTAATTTGTTCTTAACATGCGATCTCATTTAAGTCATCCTTGGAGGCCCAAATTGTCGCTTTCCCTTCCGGATTCTACTCAAGGTTCTGACAGATAGTAACGCTCAGAGAATTTCCAGCCGATCTCCACCTCCTGAATATTCATTGGGCACTCAGTTGCTGGTTGGTTTGTTGCCTTCCGGAAATCCTTGTTGCTTGTCCATCCGGGCTACCTTATTTTCAGTAGTAAGCGAAAGGGGGAGATGCTGATGGTAGTCTCCTCTAGCATGTTGGAAACGCTTTTGGTAACGCATCTGCCAAATCGTGTTAAAAGTTCGGACCTTGTTCCTATTACCGAGTTCTACAGATCTTTACGATGACTTCAGATTATGAAAGGTCCATCTTGCCTTTCCGATTATGGACTTGACAGTTTTATCCGTGTTGTCTGTAACTGAAATGATGTTACTCAGTCACAAAATTGAAAGAGATGACTTCCCCACGTTGATGGTGACTGGTGCTTATTTTCTGTTGGATATCTTCATCAACTCTGTCCTCTCAATGTTCACTTGAAGTCCTGTCTTTGTTTTCTCCTCTATCAAGTTGTTGGTTTTCACCTCTAGATCTCGTAGGTTATGTGACACTAGACATAACCATCGGCGAAGTTAAGGTCTATTATAGTTTTTATCGGTCGAACCTATGTCTGTCTTCTCGTTCCCCACAGTTTGTAGCATTATCCGGTTCACCACAATCGGAAATGTTATCAAAGACAGTAGACGGAGTTCTCCTACTCTTGTCATCTCTTTAGTGGATTTTCTGAGTTTTCAATCATGAATCACGTGGCATTCACTCAGAAAATACCCCACAGACACTTTGATGATTTTGTAATATGTGTATGAACAGTTTCGACAGTCAGTTAGTCAAGAAGGAATTCACAAGCTATTGACAATGGTACAATTTATTTCAAAATGGCGCTTACCACATAACCTGATGCCTATGGAATATATATTTTTTGATTAGAGCTTGATTCCACACTGTATTTTTGGTACAAGTATGGAATTTTCAGCTTGTGATATTGGTAGCCCAAATTTTGCAGGCTGACCATTGATATCGGGTGTGCATCGGCAGGGGATCGAACCCCGGACCATGTGCGTGGTCGGCGAGAGTCCTAACCACTGTGCCACCGAAGCAGAACGTGATCAGTCACCGCTAATCGGTGTCAAATAAAAAAATGCAACTGTCAGCTTTTCTTTATAATAATAATAATGACAGCATTATTCTGAACAGTGCTTATATTATGTACAGAATTTTCACCTGCGTTTACTGCATGGTATTTTCTATTCGTCCAGGAAATTCAATTAAAAGATTAATTGAAAACAGATCATGTGACACAGTTCTATCTTACCTGAAGAGATATTTAATCCACAATGATTTCCCTTCTTTGTCTTCCCTGAGAAATACACGACATTTTGTTGAATGCCAATTATAAAAGTTCAGGAGTACATTTTGTGAACCAAGGACGCCACTGAGGAACGGTCATCTCATGTATTAGGATAATCCACCATTGAGGATAATGCTTTTTCTTATGTTTAGTAGAAACTTGAGAATCAGTAGGTTGTAGGTGTATTAGATGGTTGGAGGCAATCGTTAGGAAGCCTTGTACCTAGGTTTTGTACTAGTTGGGACTCGCCAGTCACCAAGGCGTATCTGCAACCTTGAAGGAATTCATGTCCCTTCTGAGATTCGAACCCGCGTCACCCAGTTCTGAAGTCAGGGACCTTACCACTGAACTATTCGGGCTCGTGGTTCACCTCCTGTAGGACTGTAGTGGATACTTTGATTGGACACTAGTTAGTAACTAGTGTGATGTGTCTAGTCCTTTCTTTGGCTCAGACTGAATTCTATCAGTCGGGTTTGCAATTTGGCCACCTGCCGATTGCCTCCAACCATCTAATATCATCAAATCAATGTACACCGTGATGGCGAGTTACCTAGAATGGTGGCCATATTGCAAACCTGACTGATAGAATTCAGTCTGCATCGAAGAAAGGACTAGACACGTCACACTAGTTACTAGTGTCCAGTCAGGTTGTTGGTGTTTTAAATATTCGCCAGAATAAACAACACTATTAGAAGTCATATTTTACTAGATTTAAACAAATTGAATAAGAAAAATTGTACACACTATATTGATGGAGATTTTCGGTAGTTCACGTTTTAAGCAGGCCGCCATGAAGTTCAAATCGGTTGCTAAATGACGTCAGTACATGAATGTATACAAACAGTAGTCGAAAGATATTTGATCAATACACGATTACCAGCAATCGACTTACTTTTATCTCCTTAATATTTTTTTCATCAGTAACATTCTCCACTGGAGTATTATCTTCAGATTCCTCAGAGAACTTAGAGTTCGGCAGTTTAATTTGTTCCTCATAATAGGCAATAAGCTCTGTAGGTAATGGATCACCTGGTTTCCTTGGTGGTAATAACAAATTCCCGTATTCATCATAACCATTCAATGATCTTAATATTTCATCCTCCTTGATTAAAACAACAAAACAAAGAGGCAATTTTCTTTTAAAATGTTAATATGAACTCATTAATAACGCAGTTTAAATGTACCTTTGGCCATACATATATAGGGAGGACTCATCGATCTCTTCAAATAACGGCTTCACAGCATATTCCTTAATATCTTCAGAAGCAATGGAATACCCAGAACCCATTAATGATGAGAACAGACGACTTAGCTCTTCTGTAGCGAAACATGCTACAGAGTCAGGAAATAAAATAGATGTTTACACGTCTTGTAAACCTATCTACAAAATTTGTTTGGAGGAGGACGTATCCTAGAGTCTGTGGAAGCACTAGCAGGTAACTAGGAAGTTTAAGTCACCTTTATGTGTTCAAAAACAACTCGTCACCTTAATCAACCTTTCTTAGTAAATAATAATAATGCCATTTGCTTTATTCTAAAACAGTACTTATGATACAGTGAGGAATCTAAATAGGAGAGGATAAAAGAGCCAGTTATTTTGCTAATAACATAGTAAGTCCTACGTTTCGTGCTTAACATTATCTCTATCAAATAAGATGAGGGACAGATATGGCATCGTTGAGATTTTGTACTTGGTCGTACGAATATATAATCTTTATATAGTGACTTCTAGTCCTACCCGATAGTGAGATGGAAGAGGAGAGTTGTGAATAGCGAGGGTGAGGTGTTGAGAGTCAAGCAATATGGATTTGAGCGATTTCTCGCATGAGTGTGGGTGTCTGTTGACTACAGCGGCAACTAGCTGATTTAGTCACACACCACTCGCCCTACTAATAACCTTTTTATACCCTTGGAAATATGAGTTACCCGGGAAAGACTAAGGGGGAGCAGTTAGGAACAATGGGTAACATTCAGAAGATAACAAATTGTTAAACTAGAGGTTGAGCGGTTCCAGATTGTGTTAACTTCTTAATATTGAAGGTTAGACAGAACATCCTCATCGACATCGAAAACAGAATATGGGGTGACTAAGAATGGTCAGAGGATAGAACTATTCCAAAGCATTTTATACTTAACTTCCATTATGGGTAAATTTTATTTTGATAACGTTTCATAGTGTTATACATTAATGTTTACTGATGACGTTTCGAGGAAAATTTATTTCTCATAATCATATCAAGGTAATCACACGACTTTCTAAATTCATTTAAATAGTTCCGTTGTTGATTTTCACTTGATTTGATTGGTAGTGATATTTTCCATATTTCGGGTATGAGTGATGAATCATTCCTATTGCATGTGTTGGGTGTAAATTCGATGAACATGGATTCAGTAATCAACCTCTCTCTCCACCTACCTAGATTACTTTTTAGAATTTTAACCCTCTCCCACCCTATTGTGTGGTTGTGTGTTAATGCATGCATTGCAATTGCCGAGCTTTCTTCTAAATTACTTATCTTCTCGGGGTTAACCATTCTTACCTTAGCTAAATTCTTATGTTCTGACAATCTGACTACCCGTGACCTACTAGTTTGACCTATGTAGTTGACTTCACAGTCATTGCAGGGTATTTTGTAAATTATATTATTTTGTCTAATTGGGTCAACTGGGTCTGTTAACCTACGGAGCTTGTTCTACCGGAGTGAGTTTGTAGGCTTGAATGCCACCCTAATTCCTGCTTTATTTAGAATCCTACGTAGGGTCTCAGATGTCCCCTCTTTATATGGTATAACTGTAGATGACTTACATTCTCTCTTATTTATGTTATTCCTACTAGTTTCACAATTCTTTTTATTTTTCTTTTGGCGTTTTTCAATCTTCCTAATGAATTTTAGAGGATAGTTATTTAAAACCAACGCCTCTTCCATCTGTTTTATTTCATCATTTAGGTCTTTTCTTGTGCTACTTAGTGCCATTGCTCGGTTTGTTAAACGCTTAACTAAGCCTGCCTTAACAGTTAACGTATGAGACGAATTAAAGTCTAAATATCTATTAGAATGCGTTGGTTTTCTATAAACACTAGTGTGTAATTTGCCTTCTTCTATTCGTTTTATTTTACAATCTATCTTTAAATTCCAAGGCAAAATATATAGACAAACTGAAGGTGTAGCAATGGGATCCCCAATATCCTCTATCGTAGCAGATATATATTTATGGATAGCTGGGAAAATATGGCTCTTAATACGTTTAATCCTACTCCAAAAATATGGTGGAGATATGTGGATGACACTTTCACGGTGTTAAAAACAGAACATATCTCTAGCTTCTTGACACACATAAACTCACTAGTGGAGGGAATAAAATTCACATTTGAAGCCGAAAATGAACAAAGAGAATTAGCTATGTTAGATTGTAAAATAAAACGAATAGAAGAAGGCAAACTACACACTAGTGTTTCGAGCACAATTTATTGCTCATAATCATATCATATTGCATGCAATAGGAATGATTCATCAGTCATACCCGAAATATGGAAAATATTACTACCAATCAAATCAAGTGAAAATCAAGTGAAAAACAATGGAACTATATAAATGAATTTAGGAAGTCGTGTGATTACCTTGATATGATTATGAGAAATAAATTGTGCTTGAAACGTCATTAGTAAACATTACTGTATAACACTGTGAGACTTTATCAAAATAAAATTTACCCATAATGGAATTAACTTAGGCCCTATTTCAGTGCCCTGTATGCCCTGAGCATCCTGTTAATGGACTAGTTCTTGTATATAAATATATATATTCCTATGACAAGTAGGTCTGTGATCAGGCTGTTTGAAATGCGTTGCACAAATACACTACAACATGATTCAGAATGATTACGTCTTCTTATCGCTTTGTCAAAATTCACAAATATTTTGGTTTTTTAAATAATTTATGACTATCTGTAGAGCCTTTAGTATTTTTGTAGGTCTCATCATAAGCGAATTTTCGGTAAATACAAGAGGATAACAAATGCAAACTCAGCATATGCCTGAGAAGAAACCAGTCTTCCTGTATCTTGCATTCGAAGGTGACGACGTATCTGGAAGAATATTCCGCTTTCAAGCGAAATCATACATCTGCTAGGCTGCTAGTCACTGTGTTTAACGAGACAGTCTAAGACTGGCAAGTCTCCCTTGTCCATATTTATTTCAGATGAACACAGCGATTAACATGTACATACCATAGGACATTTATCGAACAAACAGGAAGAAACATTTGTGACCACATATTTCAGCATATTCCAATGAACTTGCATTTGAAAGGTATAAAAGTCGATAGTGGTGCGATCACTCACCACTTGTTAGACACTGCTCATCAAATCGATGCATTAAATTGCTTCAAGTTCAAGATCGAAGTTCAAGACAGTTGCAATGTGTCACTTAGGCGGTTGTCACTAATTGAATAAAACCCAGTTTAAGCATCCAGAAGGACAAGGTTTTTGTCTTGTAAATGTACTAAAAGTTATTTAATTATTTTTGTGTGTTAATTTCGTTATTTTAATTATATTATGTTCCAACAATGTAATTTTCCTAACCCCCAAAATTTTTCCTTAATTTTTATTTCTGACTGGATCGCTTTTGGTCTGTTATGATCACTAATACACTTTGTAGTTTGCATTGATGAGCTTCCTACCCAGTCGATTTACTAGTCTACTGCTTCAGTCACTATTAACAACAACAACGACACGATACGATACCACGAATCAGCTACGCAAGAAGACAGACCGTTGATGTAGACAGCTCTTACTATCTGGAATCAACAAAGAAAAGAGTTGATAACAACTGCGTGTATGTATATTCTTTAAATGGCCTTGAGAGGTACCAAATGTACTGATAAGTCTAAACAGTCAGCAACTAATAGGGTTTCAAGGTCATACGTCGGAGGGGGGGCATACAAACAGCCCTGTACGGTAAAGATAAATGTAGTATTTTAGAAAACATAGGTCCATGTAACATGATCTCTGTTTGGTAACTCCCTGACTATAGTGACAGGTGGTTTTAATTCATGTGACTGCAGCTTTCTCACAGTGATAGGTCATGAAAATGTTGTTAACTTTCCCACCAGACTGAATAATTCCCTTGATCTTGTATCTGTAAGTGACTCCGGAATATACGTCGGTGGCACAGTGGTTAGGACTCTCGCCGATCATGCACATGGTCCGGGGTTCGATCCCCTGCCGACGCACACCTGATATCTATGGTCGGCCTGCAAAATTTGGGCTACCGATATCCATGCTGAAAACGTCATACTTGTACTGAAAATACGGTGTGGCATTAAGCTGTAATAAAAATAAAAATAAAATAAAATAATAATAAAAGCTCGTAAAAGAGCCCCACTGTTTAACTCAGATCATTGTATTGTACGGGTTTTACCTAAAATTTATGGAAAGTTACACAAGAGAACTTTTTCACACCTTTCCAAGAAAACTGTACATGAATGTTACTCTACGGAGAATGTTCAGAACCTCAGAAGCATGCTCAAAGATAGAGGGTGGGACCTGTTTAAAAAAGACTCTCTTGATGACACAATCTCTAGTATTACAATTTATCTCAAATTTTGTCTTGACACCTGTCGTCCTAGAGAAACGCTCTTCATCAGATTTGACCGTTTCTCCTCCCCTCAACTTAAAAAGCTTCGAAGGCAAAAAGAAAAATTATATAAAATGAAGGATAATGTTGGTCTGAAAAGAATTAACATCCTAATAAAGTCTGAAATACACAGATTGAATTCAATTTACAACCAAAAGTTTATATCCTGTACAAATGCGTCTAATATATGGAAACTTTTCAAAAAAATTACTGCTGGTAAGCAGATGAACAGTATTCCTTATTCCCTTGATGTTCGCACACTAAACAAGTCCTTCATACATTCCCCCACAAATGCCAAACTTTCTAGTGTTACAAGTATTGATGAAACCTGCTTCCCTGGATTTACTACAAATGATGTCTTCAGTCTATGAACCCTTCTTGTAGCCTGGGTCCAGATGGTTTGCCTAGTGTTATTCTTAAAAATGGTGCAGATATCCTGTGTTATCCTCTCATGGATTTAAAATAAAAATCATTCATGAATTTGGGCGAAACATTCTTGATGGTGAGAATATCCGGGATGCAAAGATTGATGACCAAATAACCAAATGTCGACAACCAGCAACTATCTCAGACGCTTAAGTTTACTCTTCAATATAACACTGACTTAATCAAAGATAAATACCAAGGTAGATGAGCAAAAATGTTGATGCACACTAGGCTGTCAGTAAATAAAGGCGTATAGTTACATGCGACTTAGATAATATTTCTCCTTTTCATTTTTACAGTTGTTTGTCACCTGACTGACTGGTTTTAACATAGAACTTTGCACAGATTGCTGTAGTTTGAGCTGCCACTCTCCATGTACCACACAAATCAAGGGAAGAGAGTAAACAGAGGTTCAAAAGACAGATAATAAACAGTAGTGTGAGGGAGGCTAATAGTAATATGGATGAACAATAGAGTTTTATTGGATATGACAAATCACAAAGAGTGAATACATCTGTGTCAGCCATTGACAACGAGGATTTTGAGCCAGCTGTCTTCAGCTTTCATTGTTTCTTACCATGTTGAAGATTTTAACCAACCGGAGAGTGTGCACCTCCCTACGCGGCTTTCTCAAACTAACTTTCAAAGACTCAATGAACTGATGCCATGTTTTGGTTCGACTGGCACCACTAGCTGTTTTCCGGCCTGATCAGTCCTACGTTAGGTAATATTGACTGTCGAGGAATGTGGTGGCTAGGCAGACATGTGAAACACATGTTATTACCATCTCAATAGGTGTAACTTCACACTCTCATCGAATGATTTCCCCCTCCTTACCTAGCACTCGACCGAAGCCACACCTCATTATTACTCCCCTTGTTTCACCCACCACCTAATATAGGAGATAGAACGCAGGCGCCTATGATCAAAGACAGATAGACTTTTCATGTCCTCCAATTTTAGTGGCCATGTCTGACAGCCATAAAGTGGGAGGCGGGAGCGAACTAGTGATCAGTTCAAACGCCATTTGGTCTACAGCCGGTTATCACATCTACGCCAGAGTTGGAGTAAGTTGGCTTACAAATGACAAACGAGCCTTCTGTATCCATGCTGAGATTTCGTCAGCGATTAACCCGTTGGGACTGGCTTGTGCAACTTCCCAAATAATTGAAATAAGTAGTCAACACGCTCTACCAATTCACTACTTCCTATCTTTTAGCTAGAAATGAGTCGATGTAGTCCAGTCATATATTACCATCTTACATTTGATAGGAGTGGATGCAAAATAAGTGAATCTCTTATCTTAGTACCCCATGGACAACATTCTGTCGTTTTCAGCAATAGGCACCACAACCTAAATATTCCCACTATGATAATTAGTGTTCGTTCAAACCAAACTGCGGGACGTAAAGAAGAAAAAACACTGATGGTTAGTTCAATTAACAATCACTAAAGCTGAGGAAACCGTCGAGTGACATCATGCACAAGGGAGGATTTGGAGCGGAACCTCAATGGGAAAAGACGAGTTGAGCGTTAATCCAAGGGTCACATGGAGGGGAGGAAAAAAAGTCTCAATTAACCTTGTAACTAGCTAAACACGACTGCAGAGAATGAAATGTAATGGAGATTTACTGCTGTAGCCCAATGTTTCACTTGGAACCTAAGAGAATAATAATTATTATTGCTTTATATACCACTTGCTGTATCTAATCTGTCAAATATGCTCGCGTAATAACTATCATCAAAAAAACAAATGTCGGACGATTTTAGGTTACCAAAGGTGGTCAAGTGAAAGACCTACACCCAGCTCCCATACTTTTTGATACTTGTTAGAGAAACCCGATTGGCTGAGCGGTAACGCCTCTGAATACAGTTGTGGGTGAAGCAGGCTAACATGTCAGATTGGACATCACTTCTTCCGAAGATGAAAACATACCTTACTGATGAGTGCGAGTAAGTACAAAACGTGGCTTTAAGAACTTCTACCAGTTACCTAAAATCATTTAACATCAACTCAAAGTACACAGCGATATTGTGTCAGACAGTGTGATGACGGCATTGCAATGTTAACTGACTGAATCAACTGTGCACGAGCACTAGAAACATGATATTTGTCACTCCTTAGGGATGAACCAATATAAATGCAGCAACATCCAGCGCCAATCACCATCAACGGGAGGGATTTGAAAGAGGTTACTTCTTTCACTTATCTAGGGAGCATTGTCTCAACCACAGGAGGAACGGACGAGGATGTCAAATCGAGAATCGAGAAGGCGAGAAACACATTCATCAACCTGAAACCAATCTGGAAATCTTCGTCACTCAGCATCAACAACAAAATTCGGATTTTCAATACAAACGTCAAGTCAGTTATTCTATGCGGATCAGAAACTTGGCGGGTCACAAAGAATATTTTCAACAGGTTGCAAACCTTTATCAACAACTGTCTTCGCTCTATACTGAAGATCAGATGGCCGGAAAGAATCACCAACAAGAAACTATGGGCACAAACAAAACAAGAACAAAACAATCGCCCAACAAATATGCAGGAGAAAGTGGAGATGGATTGGACACTCGCTGAGGAGGCCGCTGGGTGATATCGCGCGTCAGACCAGTGCTCGAGTGGAACCCGAAAGGGAAGCGGCGAGTGGTTCGTCGGTGCAAGGGTGACATGGTGGAGATCGTGTGAAGAGGAGCTGAAACAGTATGGACTAACATGGATGCAAGCGAAAAGTACAGCAGAAGACAGAAGCAAGTGGAGGCGTGCAGTTGAAGCCCTATGTTCCACTAGGATCCCAAGGGAACAATAATCATAATATAAATGCCAATTGAGTGCAATATACCTACCAGTAAAACTTGTTTATCTAATTCCAATGAATAAAATTCAATTGGATAATCACATGGATTTGTTACAGTTACAATTTCTTCACTTCCCATAGATGAAAATGGTAAAGTTGGTGAAAATTGTAACAATACACGATCAAATATTAATTGTGGCTCTAAACCTTTGCCTTGACAATGAATTTTTAAAACAGTATCGCTATTTTCAATATTCAACAGGATTTTGGTTTCATAACGTTTTTCTTCAAGTGGAGTAAATTTAATCTGAAAATGAAAATAGAAAAACAAACTTAAATGCTTAAAGCTATTTAAATAATAATAGTAGTAATAATAAAGATTACTTTATTCCAAACATGTTCCTAGTTGCAGTCGACTGAATTATCTGGAAGACAGTGAGTAGGGAGTGAGAAGATAGGAATACGTCGGAACTGTAAGAGGACTCTAGAAGATCTAGATTTCGCGGATGACTTATGTCTACTGTCAGACGCACACATACACTCGAGAACTTGCAGGCGAGAAAACCAACAAACTGTCTGAAGAAGCAGTGAAGGTAGGACTTCAGGTGAGCGTAGAGAAGACGGAGATGATGAAGAAAACAAACGAACAGCAGCGGCAGCAATAACAACAACCAGCACCAATCGCTGTCCTTTAGAGGAACTTGAATATCGCTACTTCCTTCACTTATCTGTGAAGAATTTTTTCAACAACAGGCGGAACGGATATCGGTGTCAAAACCAGAATCGGAAAGGCGGAATGCACCTTCACCAATCTGAAATCAATTCGGAAATCCTCCGCACTCAGTCAGCATAAAGTCAGTCGGTCGATTCTTCTATATGGTTAAGAAACTTGGTGTTCGGGTCACGAAAAGCATTTCTAACAGGCTACTACAGACTTTCATCAACAGCTATCCGCTTTGCTGGCTCCTCCATATTGAAGATCAAATTTCTGGCTGGCTGGCCAGAAAGAATTAGCAACAATAAACAATGGGAAAAAGCTAAACAAGGATCAACTGCTCAACAAATATGTAGGAGAAATGGAGATGGACTAGGGATAAGCTGAGTAGACTGCTGGTTGACATCGCGCACATTGCAGGCCACCGCTCGAGTGGAAGCCAAGTGAGAAACAACGAGTGAAGCGTGGGTTCAAGGGTGACATGGAGGAGATAGTGCACGAAGGTGATCATAGACTATGGGAGACCGTGAGGCCACCTGAAGAGGACTGAGGAGAATAGGATAGATTGGAGGCGTGCTGCTGAAGTGGCTAGTTTGCCAGCATTAAAAGTTCTTTGGACTGATTTTCTTAATTTCTTCGCAATTATTTCACTTGGTATATCACCCTTGAATTGCAGTCGTATATAAAGAGGATTCTTGTTTACGGATAGTGAGTAGGCCTTTTCCGCTTTCTTTGTCATTTGTTTCTTGATAAATTTGTCGGGAATATCTATTTTCGATCAAAGCATCATATACAATCCTTAGTCCATCCCCAGTCACCTCTTCTGAGCATGTAACTCTAACCCTAAGGCTGAGGGTCTTTACTAAATTTCTCTTGTACTTGAGAGGAACGAGGCTGTGAAAATGTGTATATTGTCCTGTCCATGTATTTTTCCTATGCAAATTTCTTTTTATGCTAGCATCTGGTTTTCTTGTAAGGAGGACATCTAGGAAGGCAATTCTGTTTCGGATTCCTCTTCGCACATGATTTTTACAGCAGAATGTACTTCATTAAATTCAGTTATTATTGTACTCCTATCCGAATCATTATCACAAAGAAAAAAGTTGTCATTTACATACTGGCAATAAAATGAGAACTTTCTTATGGTTTTCTATACTGGTACAGATTTTTCAACATTAATCTCCGTTAACTGTTTCGAATGTTGCTCTTAACCTCTTTGACAGAAGCATATCCAGTAGAAAGTTTTATAATGGCCTTTATGATAATGTCAAAATAGTGAAAGCAAACCGCGAAATAACAGTTATATTAATTGTAAAGCTTAGTGAAGCGTTCTCACCTGTATATTGATTTTCTCATCAGGTTCTAAAACTCCTCTATTCGGTATTACTTCAAATATGCGCAGTTGTTTATCTTTCAATCGATTTCTTCGTGATTTATAAGCCATTCGAATAGGATAAACCGATTCTGTAAGCATTTTATTATTTTGTAATTCCGGAATAGAACGATGCCAACTAATTGATACTGGTGATGGATTGTGTAACTGAATTGTGAATAAACGTGCTTCACCACGTTGGACTTCACCAAAATCAATTGCATTTACATGTGATTTCAGCATTGGCTTTACAATATTAGCTCTAAGCCAAATTGGTATAGAAGGACCATTCAAAACCTAAAAATTAATAAATTAGGATGTCATAATGTTACTTATTACCGAATCTAATGTATTAAAGTTTAAAAGTACAGAGTGATTAGCCTAGAAAAATAAAGTCAATGAAAAGTTTCCCAGTGGTTATTTTGACCGAAGCTCCTTGTCCTTATCGACTTAATGACTCGTCATAGAAGGGCTCTTCAACGAAACCATGACATTAACATGACGTTACATAGTTTAAGAACAATCTATTAACGGAAATGCAATAATAAACGAATTGCAACTGATACGTTTTTACAAAGATAACACCTAGATGCTTAAAACGATGGGTGCCACGTTCGAGGCATAGTGGGAACACCAAAACTCACTGAGGCTGCAGGCATATCCTGCTGACTAGCTTCAAATAATCTTTCAGTAGTGCATTGCAATTCACCTCATATAAGTGGTGCAATAGATTGTCAATTCACTTTCTTGACTACATCGATGCCCCCACAGTTCCATCTTAGAACATCTGATAGAATCTGGACATCAAACTACACCACGGACAAACTTCAAAGTCGTCTACAGAATACGAAGTAGTCTTCCTAAAGGTGTACGAATCAGACTTCTTCAAACTGCAGAAGCAATGGCGATTCACTTGCTAAGTCCTGAACTCTGCATACAGAAGAAGTTCGTTCAGTCACTACACTTGCAATGGAAGTAATCTATCTTATTAGTCGACAAGTAAATTCTACCTAATCTTTTTCCTGTTTCTTCATTAGTATTATTTTGTCTTCTCAATTGTAATATTTTACATTTTCAACTTTCTTGTTCTCTACCCCCACCCGATTTAATTTCTACACCTCACTACCACTGTTATTGACTTGAACAACGCTCACTTTCTAGTCATTTATGTTACGTCATACAACTTATTTGCTCAATTTCACTTCTACTTAATCTCTACCTGTAATTACCTCTGTTGCTATCCTGACCTAAGTTGAAACATCTTAGCCAATTATATTACGTCATCTAACTTACTAACTCAGTCTTACTTTAGTTGCTGTCTGATTAACTATGTCTCTATATTACATCATTCTTGTATTACCTGATCAATTATCTAAACTTGACAAACCTCATGTAGACACACACACAAATAATTATATATAGATGCGATTGTACAGCTATGTGAATGAATTCGCCGAAAAGAGTCTCTTCGCTGAACGTCTTCTCTTTTTCACATCGTCTCTTCTCAAACATTTCTAAGCTGTGTTCGACAGTCCGCTTGTCTACTTTCTCAAATCACTTTATTTCAAAATCCACATTCAAATCTTATACATAAGGCTGTTAAACGTATACATATATGAGTACATTTCGCAAGTCGTTATTCTTTTCCCTCGGAGACAATTAATGTACCGATTTAAAGTTCCACAATTTATCCTGTTCTTTTCATCTTGGTGCTGTTGTTCTGATGTCCTTGACTTGGATATTCCAAAGGAATCTGAAAACTACAGTATTATAAATGAAAGATGAATACTGCAAAATACTTGTCTAGTACAATGTCATTCAGAGGAATCCGATGACACAAAGCTACATCCAGCAGACCAGTTTCAAAGACTACTCGTAAGGTGAGAGCTGTCTGCAAGCCAAACTTGTAGACAGCAGTTTACGTCAATGTTACGTCCTGAATCGGAGTCATAAGAAAAGTAATAACAAAGCTTAACGTTGAGAAACTCACCAACCAATCACAGCAGACTATCGTGTGCAAATACGATTCGCAGATATATGGCTTAACTTTCTAAGAAACGGTTACAAGCAGTTCGGAATAACCTTCAGTAAGAAAACAACTAATCAGAAGACGTTGCTTCTCTGCTAACAATAACCCTAATAATAATGCACATAAAAATCTATAAATATCTGTCGATTTTCTCAATAAACAATCTGTTGCCTGGCTCCTGTCTTTTGTCGTTACACTCGAAGAGCCGACATTATTATGTTTTTTCAAAATGAAATTACTTAAGAAGGACATAAAACTACTCAAAAGTCAGATTGGATAAAATGTGCTGTACTTATGTCAATACAGACCAGAACAGAAATGAAGTACAAACCCAGAATCTGGTAAAATATGCGTCACTACATAAGGTGATACGTAGAAGTGGACGAATGAAATGCAGTATAACTGCAACAGACGAAAGTCTACCAGGGAAAAAAGCTAACTACACCTAACTATCAACCTTAACCAATGTATATAAAAGTATCAAATAGGATTAACACCAGAATGTGACTCACCTTGATAATTAACTCCGTTTGAATTAAACTTTCGTCTATCTGACCTGCTTGTTTTGTATCAAAAGTAAATTCTAATTCAACTTGTTCATAATCTGGATAACCAGGTAGATGATGAATTTTGGTAATATTTGTGCTAAAGCCCAGCTGTTTAGCTTTTGACAATGAGATTGTATCATAACGAAAACTAATCGGTTCACAACTTGTATTTATAGCACATACACTTTGTTTGACACATGTTCCCATTATTACAACACCAAAATCAAGTAGATAATGTGGCAGGTATAGACTGAAATTGAAAAGAATAACAAAGGAAGAGATTATCACTAGTTAATACCCTACTGCATGTTTCGTGTGATAAATACAAAAGTGACTACCTAACTGATTGTAAGGCGATACAGTTCACTTACTTAAGCAATCTACCTCAGAATCGAGTAGTTAGGTGTTGAGCTAACTGCAGTAAAAGTCAACCTTGACGATGATGAGTAAAGGGCTAGTAAGTAACCTCACATTTCTGAAAAAGTATATGTTCCGATATCTTATTATTCCTCTTGAACATAGAACCTCAAGCTTTAAGCTTTCAAGTTTCCGTAGCAATGGTGTTGTTTATATGGGTTGTGGTTGCTTGCACCATGCCCAATCTTTCTCCCCTTTCCGAGCCTGCTACCAGTTAAGCGAGATTCTTGAGTGCATTGGCCGGTAATCGAACCCGCACTACGTGAATCTACTAACTTAATTGAGAGGCAAGTGGCTTTTGTAGGCGTCTCTTCCGACTATAGAAAAAATACTTCGATTGGACACTAGTACCTAGTGTGATCTGTCTAGTTCTTTCTTTGGTGCAGACTGAATTCAATCAGTCAGGTTTGCAATGTCGCCACCACTCTAGGTATCTGGCTATCACGTGCACACTGGCTTGATGATATAAGATGACTGACAGAATTCAGTTTGCGCCAAAGAAAGGACTAGATACATCACACTAGTTTACTAGTGTCCAATCAAAGTATCCAATACAGTCCTACAGGAGGTCAATCGAGAGTCCGAATAGCCCGAATAGTGCTAACGTCTCTGACTGCAGAGCTGAGTGACGCGGGTTCGAATCTCAGAAGGAATATGAGTCCCTTCATGGTTGCAGATACGCCTTGGTGACTGGTTAGTGCCACAGAGCACGAAACCTAGGTCGAAGGCTTCCTGTGGCCAATTGCCTCCAAACATCTAATATGGAAACAATCTTTAAAACGAATAGTATGCTTCTTAAATGACTATATTAAATCCATAAATCTTTCACTAGTAACTAATTGAAACATGTAGTTCTTACAAGGATATTTTTTAGGTTTCATATCAAGTGCTCTAATGAATGCTATTCTATCCTCATCCTTCAATAACAGTAAAATCGAATCTGAATAGTTAATTCAACTGTTTTTTTTCTATTGTTGGTTTGTAAGGATTAGTTTTGTTTTCACAAGTAGATCGCGGATCGATATCAGTTAGAGCACCATTGAAGACCAGGGAGTACTGGACAGCAGTTTGGGAATCATCAGCAGTACGCATACACCGCCAGGGTTCGAACCTAGGACTTTTCGGTTACAAGACAAGCTGGCTCACATACCATTCAGCCACTGGTACCCAATTCAATGGCCAGCCCATGAGTTCTAACTTTTACCAATCCGTGATTTAGCGCGACCCCACTAAATTGAGTCCCAGTGGCTGAATGGTATACGAGCTTGCCTTGTAACTGGGAAGCCAAGGTTTCGAACCCTTGTGATGGGTGCATACTGCCGATGATTCTCAAACTGGCTGGATGAAACAGCTATCCAGTACTTCCCGGTTTTCAATGCTTCTCTAACTGATATCAATCCGTGATCAACTCGTAAGAATCAACTGTATATATCTACTCCTGTATCTTTTCATTAGGAATAGATTAGGTATACTGCGAAGTCAATATGCAAATAGGAAGTTTATGAACTACGCATTCAGTACAAAACAAACTATATACTTTAAAACACGGAAGATAGTAAATTAAAACTTTTCTGTAACATTTCATTAGACAACATATTTGACGTAAGTCAGACCAGTAGTTCAGGGGACTGTTAGCCTGAGTCTTATCAGAAATCAGATTTTCGTTCTACTTCCACTCACTCACTCACTCACATACATGAACAACAGTCTGCCGATTCAAGACAACGTCAGGTGGTATGAAAATCTTGAAACATTTCCTGTTTTAACTTCGATCATGGATTGATGTCAGTTAGAGAACCGTTGAAAATCAAGAATATTAGACGGCTGTTTCGTCCCTCGTAGTCGAGGACTCCTTAGCAGTTCGCAGCCACCGCCAAGGTCCAAATTCACGACCTTACAATTCTAGTGAGAAGTAGCGACTGGTAGGCCCACCCAGTCGGCAATGAAGATAAATACTCACCGCTGGCACTGGCTGGTGATGGTCGAGCTAAAATAGCCACAAATTGGTAGAAGTTAGAATTCATGGGCTGGCTATTGATTGGAGTTCGAATGGTTGGATGGTGGTGGGTTCGAACCTTGGCAGTGGGTGGGTACTGCTAAGCAGTACCAAACTAGTGGGATGAAATAGCTGTCTAGTACTCTAGTTCTCCAATTGATATCAATCCTTGATCAAACTTCAAACACACCAAATCCTTGCAAACAAACTTATGAAAATTTCCTGTTAACTTCGCTGTAATAATAATAAAAGATAACGTTTTTTAAACGACATAACGATGAGTCGATCAAAGAATAATTTGTTGTTTGCGACGACACGGATCACGCATCGGCATTATATGATCGCCTAAATGAGACTCATCCAAACATCAAATTCACCATGGAATATGAATGTAATAATGAGTTCAATTTCCTGGATCTAAATGTAGAAAGAACAAACGAAGGTGTGACCTGGACTGGGCATTGTCTTCACTATAACATCTTTCGTCGCATAAGCTATAAACGTGGATTAGTGAGGACTTTGTACGACAGAGCCAAGAAGCTATGCTTACCAAACAAGATCGAAGAGGAATTAGATTTCATTGAGAAAAGCTTAAAAGGAAATGGATACCCTAAAGAATTTATACAAAAGTATAGCAGAGAAAAAGAAAAGAAAGAAAAACACCTAACTGTAGAAAAGAAGAAAGTGTTTATTTGTCTCACATTCAAAGGAGATGCAATGTCACAAAAGATTGACAACAGAATGACAGATGCGATAAAAAGAAGCTTCCCTGCAGCTAAATTCATAACATTAAACAGCACTACTTCTTCTATAAGCCAATCAAAACTGGATAAATACCTTGCTGATGTCACCTGCAACTATGTTTATAAATTTATGTGCACTTATGGGAGCAAGTACGTTGGAAGGACGGAAAGAAGAGCTTCTATCCGGCTTTCTGAACAAGAAACTTGTGCCTGAAAGGAAGCAAATATTCTCACAGTGCAACAACCACATATATATTTTTTTTTGACTACAGCTTGATGCCACACCGTATTTTCAGTACAAGTATGGCATTTTCAGCATGGATATCGGTAGCCCAAATTTTGCAGGCCGACCATAGATATCGGGTGTGCGTCAGCGGGGGATCGAACCCCGGACCATGTGCATGGCCAGCGAGAGTCGATACCAGTCAGTTGATACCAGTCATATCGTAGAGATTTCTATGTTCTTCAAAGTATCAAATAGACAAAGGATAGCAAATTTCCCACGATTTACCGAAGCTATAGCAATCAAACAATTCAAACCAAACTTATGCATACAGAAAGACAGTGTGTTTAACCTCTCATTCCCTAGGTAACTGAATTTTGATTTTGATTGCACTAATTAGTCATGTAATTCAGTGATCTCAACTCACTGACCAAATCCTAATATCATAAACTGTAACCGCTTTTGATTTTGAGTTGCTATGTGAACAAGCTACATGCTAACACTGTTTGTTAATTTTTTTCTGTTTCCTGTCTTACCCTTCCCCCCTCTTTTTTACTTTGAAAGTGTATAAATTCTTGATGAAAACTTAAACTAAAATTTGTAATGCTGCTTACATTTTGGATGCGTCAATTTTATCTCTTCTCTACTACTACTCAAACATTAAAGTATGTTATTATCATTTATATAACCATTGTAATTTCAGGTAGTCTGAAGCTGATGAGAACCTGTGAAATAGAATGACGGTATCATTTTAAACTACAAATCTAGTCTTTCTTTCTCTATCGAAATTTATCAAGGGACTTAAATGTATGGCTAAAACTTACTTATTAAGAAGTAAAGGTTTCACTGACTCGTCAGCTTCTGTTATCATCTCCAAATGATTGTTATGTTTGATGTACATTTCATTATTTAACAATCTATAAATATGTTCACATTCTGCATCCAACTGTAAATTTAAATCTGGTATCAATTGTAAAATATTTTCAGGAATTACATGAACTAAATAATATTGATTAGATAAAATTTGTTTTAAAGCTTTTGTTATACAACACATTGTATCATGCATAAATATTTCATCTAAATGTTTATTTTTACTGGAGTTTACTAATGATTGAGAAGTAGGTGAAAAGGGTGTATGACATAAGCAAAACATTTGGCCATTTTGTTGTTTTTCCCATAATTCTAACAATTTGATAACTTCTTGGCGTAAATGACCCATTAATTTCTGCATAGTCAACTCATAGACAGAAGGATAATAATTGTGTGAGCTTTCTTCTTCATCAACGGATTGATTTTCAATGTTCAATTCCCTTTTGTTTGTCTGTTGTACCATGCGCGCACGCGGTAGATTTAAATTTAAATGAGCAAAGTCTGCTACACCGTGTAATTTAATACGTTTTGGTTGAAAATGTGCTATTTGAACATCAATTTCTTGCTCAAAATAACCTGGTTTAAATGAGATATATGTGAGTCGAACACAGTGTGATTGATCACTATTCACCTGACCATGTGATGGTTCAATTTTCAACAGACCATAATCATCATTATTTACTAAAATAGTAGTCTCGGTATTCTTAACAAACGAAAAATGTTCAGGAATATTTATGCAAAAGTCGAAAATAACCTTCCCCGTATTCATAATGTTGAATTCACATATCATTGGCTTATCCATTCGATTGAAACCCAGATCGATTACAGTTTGATCGATTACATAGTTGATTTCTGAAGCAGAACCTTTCAGTTCAATTTTATACTCAGGACCACCTTCAACTTCACACAGAGCAGTTACAGAAGCTTCTATATCAGCATGTCCAAAAAATGTACAACTTAGTGTAATTGATTCACCTGGACTAATTTCACCATATAATGGTACAATATCGAATAATTCTTCTATACCCAATGGTATAATATCACCATCTTCTTCAAGCAGATGACGTAATACACTGTTTTCAGGAGTCACTTGTTCAGGATTCAAATTCTCCGACACATTTTCATCATTTGGTGGAGTAACTTGAAGAGATTCGTTTTCTTGGATACTTACTCCCATTTCTTCTGTGTGTTCACTAGTAACTTTTTGATCCTTCATTGTCGTTTTATCTTGTTCATAAATTTCATCAGGATTTAATTTATGACTGTCGACTGTTTCATCCACTACAGATGGATAAGGTTCTGTTAAACGAGCCTGTCGTTTAAATATAATGTTTGCCCGGTTGCCAATCAGTAGACTCCAACGAAATTTCACTGGTAAAGGACTGGTATTTTTCATGGGCATATGTTTTGTCATTTCTGTATGATTTAATATACAACCAAAATCGATAGTGTTTGATTCAAATTGAAGATTTGGAAAGTGGACTTCTCCAATTACTCGTACAGCATCCTAGAGGTGTTTTATTCAGTTAAAATGTACAAATAAATATAAGTGAATGAAATGCATAAATGACATTATATTAATTGGTCATTGACCGTGTTATGAATCTAACCCTTAGTTAGTTAGTTTGTTAGTACACTCTGGTCACTAAACTAATAGGCTTACCATTGCGATATACTGTTTGAATTAATGATAAACGGCAGGAAGCCCAAGGCGTGGGATTCATGCCTAGTGGCATTTGTCAGTAAGGCACATTTACAACCTACAAGAGAATCATGTCGTCTATCATCTAATGCTGCATTCACAGATGTTACCAATGAATTATCCAGATTTTCAGGTATTGGTTTTTGTAGGGATTGTATTTGATTGGTTGGAGGGGTTCATATGAGGCAGAAGTTAGAATTCATGGACTGGCCATTGGATAGGGTCCCAGTGGCTAAATGGTCTACGAGATCGCTAGCCTTGTAACCAGAAGGTCCTGGGATCAAACTCTGTCGGTGGGTGCGTACTGTGAAGAGTCCCAAACTAGTGGGACGAAACATCTGTCCAGTACTTCCAGCTGGTGTTCCAATGGTTCTCTAACTGATGTCAGCTCATGATGAAACCCTCCAACCAATTATCCAGATCCATGAGTGAAGCTCCTTTAGGACTGCATTGGTTATAGCGACTGATTATCACCGAGTGACCACTGACGAGATATCACTTCCTTCGGCTTTAAGACACAGCCTACCGATGAGTGCCAAGTAAGCCGAAAGCTAGACCAAGGGTTACAACTATCTCATATAAATCAAATTGTTAGTTGCGGTAAGTTTCTCTTAATTAACCAAGAGTAAATACATTTCATGCTGACATACTACTAAATGCTTATAAGTAGTAAACTACTAAACGGAAAATGAGAAACAGAAGGGATCAGTCTTTATCTCTCATCTTGTTGAAAGCCAGTTTATGGTATGATACATGTTATCGTGTTAATTAAAATATAGTAAAGTAAATCAGTTCAAATTTTATTTCACTTGTAATTCTATGTTCGAATAACTGAACACAGTGCTAACTACAAGTATAATCTTTAATTGAATTTTAGATTTTCCCGTCGATTGATTGGACCGAAGTGCTTGGTCTCAGGTTGACATGTCAGCTTCTTGTGCAGATGCTTCGGCGATGTCTAGGCATTCAATTAGAATTAAATTAACATGACCCGTTGCACAAGAGGTGGCTCTCGTGGCCCAAGTGGTCTAGTGGATAACGCTTTGGCGTTCGAAACTATGGGCACTGGGTTCAAGCCTCGGTGGGAACATCATCACTCATTGGGAAATGCAGGTACATCCAGATGGCGAGTCCGAAATAGGACGAAATGCGCATCCTGGATTATACTACTGCCTGAATACTTAATTACTTATTATTTCTATCATATTATATCCTGTTGCTTCTTGTTCTCACTTTCATAACTGCAAACACCAACTTATCTCTATGACTGCTGTAATTTTTGTTTTTCCCCTCACCATATCATGTAAAGAGAATATCATATTCAATATTTTTAATCATGCAAGGATTTGTATACCGCATCGACAATACTATGTGAAACAAGCCCACGGCAATTTCCACTTGTATTATTATCATTACCTTAGCTGCTATCATTATTATTATTTCCATTTTATATGCTGCATGTTTTTTTGACATTACCCCTATTGTAAATGTGGAAAAATTTTCTGTGTGATTAATTTTACTTATAATTTGAGGAAATTAGATGCAATATTGTGATTAATGCTGAAAATTCCATTCTGTATCACAAGTACTGTTTTTGGAATAAAGTAAATCATTTTTATTATTATTACCATCCACCAATTTAATTACAAGTATAATCGTCTTTTCAAGATAATTCGTTCAATAATGTAACTGCAGAACTGGAACTGCACTGTGGTAGAATGTAATTCCCCAATATTAGATAAGTTTATTTTAATAATCACACAGTGTGCAATATTAACAACTGCACGACGTTTCGAGCATAAATTACTTCCTTTTCATATTCATATGATGATGAAATCAAACAGATGGAAAAAGCATTGGTGTTAAATAACTAACCATCCTATAAAATTCATTGGAAATTTCAAAAAAGGTCAAAAGCAAAATAAAAATAATGGTGAAACTAATAATGATAACATATCTACAAACTCACTCAGGGAGGACAAGCTCTGTAGGTTAAATGACCCTGTCAGTTGACCCAATTAGACAAAATAATATAATTTACAAAATACCTTGCAATGACTGTGAGTTAAGTTAACTACATAGGTCAAACTAGTAGGTCGGGGTAGTCAGATTATCGGAACATAAGAATTTAGCTAAGGTAAGAATGATTGATCCCACGAAGATAAGTAATTTAGAAAAAAGCTCAGCACTGCATTGCACTGCATACATTAACACACAACCACACAATAGCATGGTGGGAGAGGGTTCAAATTCTAAGAAGTAATATAGGTAGGTGGAGAGAGAGATTGATTACTGAATCCTGCCTGGTTCATTGAGTCTACACCCAACACAACACATGCAACAGAAGTGACTCAATGCAAATACCAGAGATATTATTACCAACAGTCAAATCAGAGAATAACAAATAATGTTAAAATGTATTCAATTCACATACATTATAACATTCTAACAAGTTACTTATTTATTTTACTATGAAAACATCTTATTTCCCTCCATCTGATTGTATTTTATTGATAACACTAATATTATTATTTCTGAATGTACTTTATCATCTTACATTGATTTTATTCAGATGTCTAATCGTCAATTTTGCTCATGTATTTAAATGAAGCAAGAAAGTTATGTGAGTACCTTGATATGATTATAAGCAATAAATTGTGATCGAAACGTGATCATCAGTAAATATTACTGCATAACACTGTGTGATTTTTCAAAATAAAACCTTATCCATAATAGAATTACACTCTACCACGGGGCTTCTATCCAGTTTTCGCAGCATATTCCAAAAAAATTTATACTTAAAGGGAGGCAAATAATTGTGAAATGCAGTGACCAAACACCTTACGGAACCGGAACATGTTATTGATATCTATAAATCTTTCAAAATATTGAATATGCAGAGGATACTGAATTTACGACAATTAAACATTTTCAACCGGACTACTACACACACAAAAAGAGAGTGTGATCAGTTTCTTACTACCATGGCAACTGAATCAAGATTTTGATCACATCGATTGCATAATTATGCATATTAGTGATTTTATCTTACTAAGCTGATTTCAGCGTTATGAAGCAAAATTTTCTTGAGTTGTTACATAACCTTGTTTATTATTTCTTCTGTTTCCTGTCTTCACCTCCTCTTCGTTTTTTTTCTTTTTGGTTTGAAATGCATATAAATTGAAGATGACATGAACTAAAAATTGTGATGCTCACATTTTGGATGCCTTAATTTACAATCTGATGCTCGCTGGTGACTTACTACAAGACAGTGTTTCCTGGAGTTCTAGTGAGAAGTCGTGACCATCCATTTGAGAGTGAGGATGGAGTTCCCACCGATGACATTGGTTGGCGGTTGCGCTAAATCACGAATTGGTGGAAGTTAGAGTTCATCGGCTGACCATTAAATCGGGTCCCAGTGGCTGAATGGTATACGAACCAGCTTGCCTTGTAACCGGAAGGTCCTGATTTCGAACCCTGGCAGTGGGTGCGTACTGCCAATGATTCTCAAACTAGGATGAAACAGCTGTCCAGTACTCCCTGGTTTTCAATGCTTTTATAGGTGATATCAGTCTGTGGTCAACCTCTTATAAATATTTTGTCTGCTTTCATCACAGTGGGTCGGTGGCACAGTGGTTAGGACTCTCACCGACCATGCACATGGTCCGGGGTTCGATCCCCTGCCGGCGCACACCCGATATCTATGGTATGCTTGAATTTGGGCAACCGATATCCATGCTGAAAATTCCACACTTGTACTGAAAATACAGTGTGGAATCAAGCTGTAAATCAAAATAAATAAATAAAAATATTGAAATATGTTATTTACGTCTTTTAATAACAATTTTACGGAATATACACACTGGATCATAAGAATTATCAAAAGTATGGTTATAGCGAGGAAATTTTTCTTTTCGACGAAGTCATCAACTAGACAGAGCTGTAAATTCTTGTATTTATATTAAATGTGTGAGAAAGTTCCAGAATTATTTCCCGTGAAAGGTTGAATTAACAAAATACAAAGTGTAATAATCACGAAGATCGGGTAAAAGTACATAATAACATTATAATTACTGGAAAACTTGTCAGTTTGTATAATTACAGATTAAGGACGTAGTATTAACAAAATCATGGTCAGATCTAGTAATGCAGATAGGAATTAAGAACGCAAAATAACAGAAATAAAAAAAGAAGTTTGGATAAGAAAGGTAATAGGGTAATAATTATTGGTTGGACTGATTTTTCACGATGGCCTTGGTAGAGACAATGGTTGAACGTGTTTCTTTTAAACACGTAGAGTAGGCTTGAACGTTTTCATCTCTAGTGACTCATCTTTGGTCTGCCAGATGCCTTGATTTCACTCCCTTTGATAGGTTTGATCGGATCTTTGACATGACTTTGAAGGACGTTCCAAATGGAGCTGAATGTCCAGAATTCACTGGATGTTCTATTATCGAACTGTATACCCCATTGCGTTCTCCCTTATTTTGTCCTTTCTACCCGATTTTCCTGATTATTGCAATTTGTAATTTTATGAATTTTACCTTTGACGCCGAATAATTCTAGAACTTTCTCATCCATTTAATATCTAGTTGATGACTTCTTCGAAAAGAAAATTTTCTTTGCTGCAACCGTCTTTTTAATGACCATTTTAATTCGAAGTAGTCTGTAGCTGATGAGAATTTGTGAAATAAAATAATGATACCATTTTATACCATAAACTTGATCTCTCCTGCTTTCTTGATATACGTAAACTTAGTTCCCTAGCAGAGCATTTTAAATTATAAGCTATTTTACCCTTTGTTACTGAGCTCTCTTTAATATTTTCTCAATTAAAAACGAATTGATAAAGACAGCAGAGAAAGTAGTTTAGTTGCAAGTCTTTTTCTACTGAGTGCATTTACATCACTTATCATATGAATGGTACTCTGAGTAATTTTGTGTCAAAGTTCACCAAGTACTTTGATGAGTACAAGAAGGTGAACAAGAAAGCTTAGTCTGCTTATGGCCAATCATAAATTCTACAGCGTGGGTGGCCAAAACAGAAAGAGCACTAATGTTGCTTGACTGAAGAGTTTCGCGAAAATCTGAATAACACTGGCCACACTAAGGCTTGTTCATAGCGGTTTCTGGAGTTATTTACATATGAAGATCTCATCGCTAGCTACTGGTCACCGCGAGGTATCTCGGGATCCACCTTTTTTAAACAGCGTCACCTCCCCAAAGTTAAGATACAGTGTTCATGCCTACCAAAAATTATATATAAGTGCGATTGTATGACTACGTAAATAAACTCAACAAAAACAGACTCTTCACTGAAATAGTTCTTCCCCTCCTCATAAAGTCCTAATGAGTATTTCTGTCATAAAAACCAGTTTCTATCACTTACCGTTTGTGGATGTTCAGCATACTTGATGAATAATAGTTCATCAGCTCTTCGACTGATTAAATCATCCTTATACATTGGATTGAATGCAACTGTAATTTCTTTAGATTCAAGCGGATTCATTTGAAAAGTCTGTAAAAGGAAGTAATTCAATTAGTAAAATATCAAGAGATTATCTGAGGTAGCCTTGAATTAGCAGAGTGTTCTTTTGGTCGAATCGGTAATGACTAAAGGTGGAGAATAAATCTGAGTGGCTATAAGACTCGAATCAGCAGCCTGAGGGCTGGTGATTCCAACTATGACCCTGATTTTCATTTCATCCTCAACACAAGGGGGGGGACAGAGCAAATTTTGTCCAACATAATCCAATTTAACGCACAAATGAACAATAACTCACACGCGTTCTACAAGAGGTGGTTGTTGTCTCCTAGTGGCCTAGGAGATAATGCTATGATTTTTGGAACAATAGGAACTGAGTTGAAGTCATATTGGTGGCACTAACACTCACTGAGGATCCAGCCATCATATCCAAGGGACAAGCCCCAAACAGACGAAATTCGCATCCTGGATCCCACTGCTAGTCACCATAATCTAGAATGAATATTGTTAACTGATGTTGACTTGAGAGACGGCTGTTTAAGGTTTCGCAGGTTTTACATCCATTTAAAGGCTTTAACTGACGAGGCATCCAAAGAGACTACAACTGAACTATTCCCCTTAATAAAGGTCTTTTTCACAACCAGATAATTTGTGTAAGTTTCATGCCTTCTTATACCAGCTGATATGTCAACTCTAAGTGTTCAATAAATTGAAGCATTCTTTTCTCTTTTCTGGGATTTATTTGACTGGCCTTTTAGCGTAAAAAAAGACTCAAACGTTACATTCATCACTCTGAATGCGGTATAGTTATCCGCATCTGAATATCAAACTAATAATAATAGCTTAATTCTGAATAATATGTTAAACATAGTGTGGAGAGTGCTACTGATAACAGTTATCAGTAGTATATAAAGAGACATTTATCGGCATAAAAACATCAAATAGAAGGGAGATGCATTTGATGGCGGAGGGAACAAATGATACAGCGTTGTGAATATACATGAGAGACGTGAAAGGAATATATAGAAACACAATATGAAGGTTAGAAGTAGCACAGCTAGGAAGATCTGTGCAAATGGTTGGCTGAAGATACGATGTACATAATTTGGCCAAATAGAGATACCAAATTGTAAACAAACATCCCTTTACCAAGTCTTTGCCTTCTATCATTTCAATAGTACCGAATTTCCAGCTTATTCAAATTCCAAAATATCTACCCTTCATACAGGATCTTCAATTAAAATGGTATTCGACAGTATATCGTGTGACACTGTATTGCTCCTTCTCAAGCTACATGTTAATGCCCACGATATTTCCTCTTCATTTCTGTTGAGAAGTGCTCTACACTACAGCATACTAAAACTGTGTGCCAGTTCATGTATTGATCCAGAACCCCAGCTAAACAATTCAAACAATAAGGAGTGGAGAAGAGTTTATACTTTATACCGGATGGTAATCTAGGTAGCCCAGTAATTTAAGCAGGCCACCAGATTATCATTAGTAGTGAGACGTCTTAAATGAAAGCCAATAAACCAGTACATCAAAAACGAAAACTTTCAACCGTCAAAATTCTGAATAATGATTAAAGACCAAATAGAATCTTTTGATAAAGCGATGTGCGACACTGCTATTTATAAGCACTTTGTAGCACCTGAGAACACCATGTAACTTAAAGAAATGTTGTAATATTACTCAACACAATCATCTTGAGTAGTAGTCAATAAAGAAATAAAAGTTAAGATTTGGTTGACATTTAAATCCACTAGGTAGGTGCATACGGAGCATTTAATTTCGTGTATTTTGACTTCTAGTTGATATTTGTTTTCAATTATGGTCACCGACCTTATCCCTCAGCTATTCCATTGTAATGCCTCTGATTGTACAAGATCAAGTCTGTGAAGGGGACAATAATTCCACTGAGACAAAACATACACATCACCTACAAATACCACAGGAATGGAACCTATGATCAAAACTTCCTCATTATTCCCTTTCGCAACTTGCTTCCCTCTCAATAAGATATATACATCAACAAATAGCAAAAGGTATTGGGACTTAACATCACGTGGTCTGGAGTCGGTCAACTCACTCCTAACCCTTGCTAAGCCTTTAGTAAGGTCGATAAAGACAGAAGGTCAGGCGTGACGCTAGCAACCCTACTTCTTAGAAATAAAACCCCTGCTGCCAAAACTTCGAAGCCATATGTTCCACTTGGAACGTAAAACAATTTTTAAAAAACATCTTACCATAGTTGATGTGTAATTACCATCTACGTATAAATGAAATGGACTGCATATTTCCAGTGAACAGGTTAAGATTAAGTCTACTTTATTTTTCATAGTGAATTGATTGAATTGTATTGAGAGTTTATCAGATGGACCCTGAAAACGAGAAGGGAAAGAAAGAAAAAATTTGTGTGACTTCACAAACTAGTCAAGTTCTTGTAAATCAAATCCTGGAAATTATTCTGATGCTCAATAGCGACTGGATCAATACAGAAAGTTACCTGGAGTTCTAGTGAGAAGTCATGACAAGCAGGGTACACCAAATCAAACAAGGGAACAGTTACTAGCTTATGACATTGGCCGGCGGTTACACCACATATACATTACGAATTGGTGGTGGTCAAACTTCATGAGCCTTTAGATTGGGTCCCAGTGGCTTAATGGTCTATGAGCTCGCCTTGTAAACACAGAGTCCTCGAGTTCCAATCCCGATGAGTAGTGTTGCTGAAGAGTCCCGAACTGTGACGAAACACCTGGACGGCACTCCCTGGTTTTCCAATAATTCTTTAACTTATGTAAACTAGTGATCAGACCTACAACTTCATAAAAACCTCAAATAAAAAACTTTTATCAGGCAAAATTGAAACCCAACCGTTATACAACCTTTTATGCAGATCTGACATCCAAAATATAAAATTCATGCAAAATCAAACAATGCAGTGACTAACTAGTATTGCTGAACTACTTTCAACAGGGTGATCATAATTCTGATCTCACTCCAGTTACCAAGATCTGGATAGCTAAATCATATCATAGAGCAGTAATTGTGATCCACAATATATATACAAATTTGTGAGAGAGCGATTCCATGTTAATTTGTTTATGAGATAAATCACACGAAGAGTGAAACACTATTATCGTTTACTAGATGAAGAAGTTTTAAGCACAATTTAATGCCGTTCATAGTCATATAAATTATAATCACACAACTTCAAAACTTCCGTTTTACATTTTTCTACATTCCTTCCTATTCGTCGTAGGGGTTGTAGAATTCTCCATATGTCTCGGTGGACAGGTGTTGAATCATTCCTATTACACGTATGCCCTCTCAGTTGATTCGATAAATAAAGCTTCAGTTATCAATCTCTTCCTCCACCCTGTTGTTATATTAGATTTTAAAACTGTCATCTTGTCCTATTCTAGTGTACGGTTGTGTGTAATTTCATGTAGTGCCGTTATAGCTGAACTATTCTCCAGACTTCTTGTCTTATTGGGATAAACTAATCTCGATTTTGCTAGGTTTTTGTGCTCCGCTAGTCTGACTGACCCTGTTCTACTACTTTGAACTATGTATTTGTCCTGACAATCATTGCAAGCAGGGTGTTAGATAAACTAAATTGTTTTGTTTAAATGTCTCCACAGGATCCTTTAACCGACAAAGCTTGTTTCTAATTGAGTTCATGGGTAACTGAATGCCAGGTTTATTCCTGCGTGAAGTGTTAAGAATTCTTCGTAAGGTTTCTGAGGTTCCTTCTTCCTTCGGAAGTACTAACGATTATTTTAATTCCCTATTGTTGGTGTCGCCATTATTATGTGCATGTTTGACATGCATGTCGTTATTAATATTATTATCACTACTACCACTATTATTACTAATTTCACTTTTACATTTTCCTACATACCTCTTGAATAATTTATCAGGTTAATTATTATGCTTCGAAGCTTCTCTTAAACGCCTCACTTCCTGTCTTAGATTTTCCTGGATAGTACTTAGCTTTTGAGCCTACTACACAAACATTTCACCGCTATTTTTACTGACATAGGATGGGATGATCGGAAGTTCAAATATCTGTTTGAATGTGTGGATCTTCTGTAAACGCTAGTGCTTAACTTCCCATCTTCTTTCCTTTTTACGCTGCAATCCAACATTGGAAGCTCCCCTAACTGACTTTCCAATTCACAAGTGAATTGAACTGCCTCCACCTTTGAGTTAATGCGTTCGAAAAATCTATCTATATCCTGTGTTCTAAGTACAGTGAATGTGTCATCTACATACCTCCACCATACTTTTGGGGTGGGGCTGAACGTTCAAATCGCTATGTTTTCCCACCTATCCATGAATATATCTGCCACAACCGGGGATATTAGTGACCCTGTGGCAACTCCCTCAGTTTGCTTGTATATTTTCCCTTGGAATTTCAATACTGTAGAATTCAAGCATAGCTGCACTCCTAGCATAATGTCTTCCATTGAATTAGTTGTGTTCTCTGAGCTGATTGACTTAATTGCGAAGCTTTCTTTACAAAAATATCAAACAGAAATTCTAAAACTAAGTTTTAATGTCAACCAACTGAATAAAACAGCCATTCACTCACTAACTCACTCACCTTTTCTACCCGATAGAATAATTCGCTAGTAGACAGTTCAATAACTGGTGTAATAAAATCAATTGTAACGTCAACTGTTTTAATTAAATATTTAGCACTTCTTCCAATAATTGAATGACATAATATTTTATCATGAATTGTTTTAGGGCTAAAATAAAATCATACAAAATTACACAATTAGTCACTTCACTGTAAGTTAAAATATACACAAGCAGCATTGTACAACTTATTGAAAATCTTTTGAATTCCCCGCTGACAGAATATTTTGAAACGAAAGATTCTATCTCTGTAGACATTTCTTTGCCTTGTACGGACGCTTTGATTATGCTTTGGTTATCTGGTTAGCGATAGCTAGCAATGGAGTCCAGAAGGTATGTTTCACCCCATTCGGGACTCATTAGCTAAAATTACCTGCATTTCTGGTGATTGCTGGCGTCCTAAGTGGGACTTGAACAGAGACTGATAGTTTCAGTAACAAGTGATACTTGTTGCATATGGAGAGACTGTGGTGGTTCACTGACCTAGTGAATAACTCCTTGATGTTTAGAGCGATGAGTGATGTATCCTAGTCCCAACGGGAAAAATGTCAGTAACTGAGAATGGTGGAACACTTTGAGGACGAGTCCTAAATGGAATGAAATCCCCATTTAGCTTTTCACTGCCAGCTACCGTAAGCGGAATAACGTAATTTCAATCACGACACTTCAGACAATCGCCATATTTCTAGCCGTCCATGGACAGATATGGCAATGTCGTTTATTCCTGAATTCGGTTGGTCATCTCAAGAATAAATCGATGACATAACTCCTAATTCAGGTAAACTGATAGGAATCCGCTTAAAATAGTAGTCACCTTGTGATGAGATAACCTAGACTGACTGTAAAATTTTATCATCTTTCCCTTAACCTTGGTCCTGATCCAACCGTCAACCAGTCAGAATATTGATTTTCTGTGGACCTAGCCGAATCGCTCACCTATCAGAGAAACCTACTTTCTACTGCCCTAGTCAGATTTGAATGTGGTTAAAAATGTATAAATATGAAGTGTTTTTTCGTACTGAAAATTATATTCTAACAGTCACAGGCCAGTCTTTGTCTTTTGATATTTACATGGCTCAGTGAAGCGGAAGGCATTACGGACGAATAGGTGTATTTAGCATTTCGGTTAAGTTGTCCACTGCGTCAGTATTATTATTATACCCACGCATAGATCGACTCAGTCATATCAGCTGTCAACGAAATCCCATGAACTGGCAACAGGTCCATAACAAAACGAAGAAATAAATATTTTCATTTCTTTAGAGTTGCAAAGGAAGCATCTCTCACTAAATTGATTAGAACTAGCTGACACATGCCTTTCAGTTTTCTAGTTTGGTAAATTTGATGATTAAAAGTACCAGTTTCCGGTGTTGTTCCGATCTCTGAGATCGATGGTTTCATTCGGAAGCTTTCATTATTCTTCTTGATGAAACCTCTAATGTGAAATTTAGCTCTAATGAACATGCTGTTCAAGGAGGAAATTGAAAGCTTCTCAATTACACCCTACGACTCAACGAATAAGGCAACACGGGGAACATTTGCCTCAGCTACAAACCTTCTTTGCTGTTTCAGAAGTACACATCAATACTTGATATAAAATAATGATGAAACTCACCTATCACACTGAACTTCTAAACAAATTTCTGCACTTGCTCCAGGATTAATTTCAAAACGATGCGGTGTAATAGTCCATTTTGTTTCAGGTTTAATTAGCGGCTGGTGATGACGAAGGAGAAGAGAGGTGAGAGACAGAAGAATTATTTTAGGTTAATATCATCAGAAGTCTTTAAGTCTAAGAAATAGTATTATCCCTTTCTACTTACTGTTTCGTGGTTGATTATTCCTATCTCAAATATTAAGAAAGCTTTCATTATTCTTCTAAAAGGCATCATTTATTACAAATACAGAAGGTTCTACATATTCTTACGTCACTGAAACAATCTAGGATTAACAAGATTCCCTTTCACTTTACCTCTAGCATCATGTGTTAAATTATATGAACCTACTGTAGTACATACATCTAACGAAAACAAAGAAGGAATTGTAACTACATGTTTGGGTATATTTTAAGGAACTCGTGGGCGAAAGGTGCGAAAGTCATCAGAGATATCTTTCCTTGTAACCTGGTAGGTATTTTTTAAATTTTTATTATTCGCTTGCATTCCGAGTGGAACATAGGACTTCGAAAACACATCTCAACTTTGTCCTAACTTCTGCCGTCATCTTCATCTGGGTCCACGAATGACCAAACTCTCTCATCTCTTCACCACATGATCTTCTCCATGTCACACTCGCACTGACGACTCACTCGTTACTTCCCATTTAGATTCCAATCGAGCACTGGCCTCGCGTGCAATGTCATTCGGCGACCTCCTCAATGTATGCCCGATCCATCATTAATTTTTCCTAGGTATTTGTCGAGAGGTCGGCTCTTTCTTGTTACTTTGTTGCCAGAATTTCTTGTTACTAATTCTTTGTGGCCATTCAATTTTCATTATGGAGCCAGGGAGAGGTACAGCTGTTGATAACAGTCTGCAGTAGCTTGTTGGAAATCCTTTTCGTGACTGAAACGTAGTGCAAGTTTCTGACCCATACTGAAGAAGTGACTGATTGACTTCACATTTGTGTTGAAAATACGAATCTTGTTCTTTATGCTGACTGAGTGAGTGCAGAAGATTTCGGAACTGATTTCAGAGTGATGAAGGTGCACCCTGCCTTTCTAATTCTGGTTTAGAAATCCTTATCTGTGCTGTAACCTGCAGTTGAAAGGATACTTCCTAGATAAGTGAAGGAATTGACCTCTGTCAAATGTTTCACGTTGATAGTGATGGGTGCTGGTTGTTGTTGTTGCTGTTCTTTGTTTATTTTCATCATCTTCGTCTTCTCTGTGTTCACTTGGAGTCCTGTTTTTGCTGTCAGTCCCTCCTGCCAGTGTGTTCATTTTCGCCTGTAAGTCTTCGAGTTTGTGTGACATTAAACATAAACTATTCAACAGCGAAATCCAGATCCTCTAGATTCATTTTGTTGTTTGACCTCTAATCAAGTCAGAATTATTTTTTCAAAACTTTGGGCCATCAAAACTTAGAACTATTAAGGGATAGTTGATTCTGATGTTTTAGGCCCTTATTATTGTCCAACTTCTATTCCTGACTTACGATGGTCGTTCGTTTACCTTTTTTAAATACACCCACAAGTTTATTGACAACTGCAGTCATTTTTTCAACTCTTCGTGTATCCACTAAGGTGATATTAATTTAATAACTCCTAACTAATTAATTAAAGTACACGATTACCTTGTGTAACAGTATAGAAACTGTTGCGAGTTGCCTACAGTTGATAAAAGCCGGTGGAATAATATGATGATTTCATATAATCCTGCTCAATTTGTTGTACTCATTTTGATTGCATAGAGGATTTCATCATGAGCTGACATCAGTTAGAGAACCACTGAAAAACCTGGGAGTACTGGACAGCTATTTCATCCTGGTTTGGGACTCTTCACAGTACGCACCCACCGTAATTCGAACCCAGGACCTTTTGGTTACAAGGCGAGCTCGTAGACCATTGAGCCACTGGGACCCGATCCAATGGTCCATGAATTCTAACTTCTACCGATTCACGGCATAGCGCGACCATTTCTCAAAGTCTTCTTCGATGAGTCACTGCCTCATCTTCAACCTGCTGTACCCTACTGGTCACGGCTTCCCACTAGAACTCATTCTGTTCACTTTTGTCAATGAAAATAGCAGCCTATTAAAATCCTTTTAACCTAATATTCAGACAGCTTTCCTAACTAGTTTTACTGTCAACATTACTACAATTAAGTCATTTCTGTCGTTTGTGGCCTAGCTCATCAGCGGTGTAGTCGGTAAGACTCATCTCAGAGAATCTAATTAGTTGAAGCCATTCGGAATCTAGCCGACAGTATTTAGATAACTTCGATCTGGCTAGAAGGCACAACTTTTTGCTGCGAGTTATATTCTTCAAGCATATCAATCAATCAATCAGTAGTGTTAAACAGCATGCATCTTTACTTGCTTTCTTGATTGTCATTTATGCTATGGATTAGTTCTTCTGTTGCGCTCTGTATAATTTCATCTTCCAAAAGAAACTGTGTTGAAATTTCAGTTTGAACTAAGCAAATTACAAATTGGAAAATTATTTCACAAATTTCGAATTTGCTCCAATGTTAATTTTTAACAAATTATGAGGAGGCAAATGACTGAGTAAAATTAAAATTGTAATTCGTTATTTAGGGGAATGTAGACCATTTTGTTTTGACTGTGGGAATCAAGTTTTGACCTTTTTCATTGACAATACCTGCGGAAGCAGGCTTAAAGCAGAATTCTGGAAGCAGAATCTAAAGGTATTTTAATACCAACCCTTTGAAGTAAATTCCTCGGAATGAAGGGCTGTCGAAATTTTGATGCTGCTTAGCTGCTGGATGTGTATATTTCTATGCACAAATTCGAAGAAACATGTTAAGAACCGTATCTCTCCGCGCCCATTATATTTACTTTGGCACGTGCTTATGAAAAAGGCAGTTACACAGAAGAAAACTTTGTTTTTGACAAATTGATCAACTAGATAGAGCTGTACATTCATGCACTTATAGTAAATGTGTGAGAAAGTTCCAGAATTATTTCCCGTCAAAGGTGAAATTAATAAAATTTCAAAGTTTATTAATCAAGAAGATAGGGTAAAAAGGACAAAATAAGATCATAATTACTGGAAAACTTGACTGTTTGTACAAATTACGGATTAAGGACGTAGTATTAACAAAAATAGGTAGGGAGATAGGATATAGAGAAATAAAAAACAGCGACCAAATCAGACAGACAGAAAGCAGAAAGACAGACCGAAATTAAAAAGGTGAAAATAACAGAAATAAACGGGTGGGTTGGATAAGAAAGGTAATAGGGCAATCATTATTGGTGGGACTGACTTTTCACGATGGCCTTGACAGAGACAATGGTTGGACGTATTTCTTTTGAACACAGCGTAGGTCCATGTTTTTGGGTCGCCAATGCCTTAGATATTCCCAGCTGCTTTGATTTCATTCTATTTGATATGTTTGATCGGATCCTGTATATGAATCTGAAGGATTTTTCAAATGGAGCTGAATATCCTGAAAACACCAGATGTTCTGTCACCCCCTTGCGTTCCCACTTTGCTAACCATGCTGGACAGTATTCCCCAGCGTGTTTTACAAGTGGATGCACGTACGTTTAGACTAAAATTTACACTAGAAAGCTTCCCAAGATAGACATCTATCTGCTAATTTTGAATATTGCGTGCCTGTGGAGAACACAATGTTATTCGAAACTTTCATTCCTTGATTAATCATACTGCCGAGTTAGTCATACATAAACCAACTAGAAATAGAAAGTGAAGTGGTAGAGCACGTTGACCGCTTCACTTACTTAGGAAGTACCATCAGCCCCAACGGGTTGATCTCCGACGAAATCTCAGCACGGATAAAGAGGGCTAGGTTCGCATATGCCAGTTTACGCCGTCTCTGGTGTAGACGTGATATCCGATTGACTATCGACCAAAGGACGCTTGTATTGCCCAGCAGTTCACTTTGTCCTTTATGACTGGAACTGAGACATGGCCATTAAGAGTGGAAGACATGAAAAGATTAGCTGTCTTTGAACATAGGTGCCTGCGCTTTATCTCCCGTGTGAAGTGGTATAATTAGGTGAGCAATATTGAGGTTAGGCGTCGAGTGCTAGGTAAGGCGGGGAAATCAGTTGACGAGACTGTGAAATTACATCGACTGAGATGGTTAGGACATGTGTTACGTATGCCTAGTCATCGCCTTCCTCGACAACAGTCAATGTTAGCTGATATAGGGTCACGCTGGAAAAGAGCTAGCGGCGGTCAAACGAAAACATGGCACCAGTCAATGAAATCTACAACAGTTAGTCTAAGCCACGTAGGAAGGTGTAGACTTCCTGGTTGGGGTTCTCGGGACGGTAAAAACCAATGGTTGGAAACAATTGGTGATATGGCTCAAAATCGTTCTCAATGGCTGACGCAGATGCATCCACTCCTTGTGACTTATGATTTCCAATTAAATTGTTTCGTTCTCGGTTATTACTATTCCTTTGTCTCACACCTCTGTTTACTGTCTATATTATGCATTTCTTTTACTTTCTTCTCTTCCTTTGTGTGCTACAAGGAGGGAGTGTGGCGACTTGAACTGCCGCATATATGTGCAAAGTTCTATGTCGAAAACCGACCGACCGACCGAGATAGTTAGCATTTGACCTTTATATTCAAAATGATTTTAAATTAAATATCTATTAGACGACAGTAACTTACCTGAGAGTCTGTATGAATTGATTTACGCAATGATTGACCTTCTATAGACCAAATTAATTGTTGTTGTCTCCTCCCCTTATTAATCACTTTGAATTGTTTTCTCATTGGATTAACACTGAATTGACAGCCTAAATTTAATGTTGATCCCATTGGTGGTTGGGTTACAATTGTACCACCTTGACCAATTGCACATAATTCAATTTTCAATGGTTTTGTATTATGTTCAATGTGTATTTCTAATTGATCTTTAAATGTAATAATATCATTTAAATTAGCAGTTATATTCAAATCTATATGACCGTAAGCTGGAATACTGCCTGTAGATGGTTCAACTTCAAATACAGTATCATTTCTTAGCTAATGGAATAGATAGAAAGAAACAGAGATAACAGTTGGATTCACTAATGAACTAAGAAGGGCGGAATGTGTTCAACACAGACGAAAAACAAATAACACTGAACATTGGTTTAAACAAAAATATTCAAGTACCCAAACACGATCAGTTCAAATTTATTAAAATAAATTACAAAAATAACCCATGAGAAACAAAATGAAATATTGGAAATAATAGGAACTAAATGCGTTTATCTTACCTTAATTCATTTTATTACTGCTAACGGTATTGTGAAAAAGAAAGTTAGGCCCATTATGTAAAGGTCTACTAAAGACGAAACTAAGCATTACACACCAGTACACAAAACAAAAGAGATCAACGAACTTTAAGCAGCAGTTTGTGCGTCGGTGGCACAGTGGTAGAGTGCTCGCCAACCACTCAGGTGGTCCGGGGCTCGATCCTCGGCCACTGGCGCACTCCTGAACCTCGCTAAGCCAGTAGTAAGACTGATAAAGGGGGGATGAGCGTGAGACTGGCAACCCCATCCTGTAAAAACAATCACCACTCCTACCGTAACTTCAAGCCTCTAGCTTGAAGCCCTGTGTTCCACTGGGAACGTTAAAGAATAAGAAAAGCAGGAGTCTATAACAGTAGATTTGAAGTGTCGCAGTTCTTCGTTAGAGAGACAGGAACTAAGTCTTTTCTTTGACTGACGAGACTATCAAATTCTCCTTCTGCATGAAGACAGGCTTTGTTAGATGTTTGATGATAAAAGTTGATGTCAGGGGATAAAGTCTTGTGGATAGTATTTTATTTGAAATGTTAGAACTCTTCGTAGAATCCATGTCTATCCACACCAGAGGACTATGAACCTCATCGATGACCTACGCTCACATGTATTCACTATGGACCGTAATGTGGATGAGAAACTTTTCTCACTTGACTAGTAATCTATTGATGGACAAAGAGAATTTGAGAACTATGTCATCACAATGAGTGAAAAGAGTGTAAAGGAAACCAAGCTAACACTTCTGTGTACTGTTAAACCAGTATAAACCACGGCGAAATCACCACGCTGAACCCAGAGTACAAAAATAATATAGAATTCAAAGCCTGTGTAGTACTTTCATATAAAAAATGAACGTCAGAGCCCTTACATAGGATTTTCAATGAGGCTGGAATTAGATTGTCATTCAAACCAAGCAACTCTTCCAGAAACAAACTTTGTAGGTCTAAGGACCCAATAGATCCAATTTAGAAAAACAATATGATTTACCAAATGCCGTATAATGTCTATGGAGTCAGTTACTTAGATCAAACTAGTAGATCGCTGTCAGTTTATTTATTTATTTTTTTTATTTTGGATACAGCTTGATGCCACACTGTATTTTCAGTACAAGTATGGAATTTTCAGCATGGATATCGGTAGCCCAAATTTTGCAGGCCGACCATAGATATCGGGTGTGCGTCGGCAGAGAATCGAACCTCGGACCATGTGCATGGTCGGCGAGAGTCCTAACCACTGTGCTACCGAACATAAAAATCTAGTTATACCTAGAATGACCGATTAAGTAATATATTAACACAACGTCTAAGGAATACAGCAAAAGAACATTCAGTGCTGCTGAATTATGCTGTGTCTTCAAAGCCACCCCTGTTGTGCATTCGGGAATAAAAGAAAAACTGCCTAATTTTGTATCCTCCATGTTTATATACCAGTTTGACTGCTCCTGTGGAGCCAGTTACATAGGCGTGTTTATAGTCAGATTTCCGAACATCACCCTGCGTGGTTAAATAAAGGACAAACAAAGTCTATTCATAGCTCTATTCTGTTGCACTTTGCAGATACAGAACACAAGATTTATGTTAACCAGGCTTTCAAGGTCATTTGCCGCATACTAACAAATCTTAACTTCGCTTTAAGAGTTCGATTACTATATATTGCTGAGGCCGTTGGGATCCACACTAAAAAGCCTAATTTGTGCATTTAAAAGAAGCTAGTTCAGACATTATCCCCACTTTGGCCATCTGGGTTTGAATGATCCTGAATTTTTGTGGAATTTTCCTAATTTTAGTTGATATTCTATTTGCTATATCTTTATTGTTATTATCATAATTTAAGCATCTTTAATGAACTGTAATTCCATTGTGATCTTACTTAACAAATCGATATTATTTTAAAAAACACTAATATTGTTATTGACTACTAATCTAGAATATTCCATGTATATAAACATATATATAATTGTAGAGCCTGGAAGAGGAAATTATCGAAAAGGATATTCTTTGCTCAATATTTTTAGTTTTCCTAGATGTCTGAGTGAATATTTTCGCTATATTAACTCTGCTAAGTTAAGTAACTGGAGAAAAGCTCAGTCATTACATTGCATTCACTTGCATGTGATAACACAGTAGGGTGGGCCAAGGTGAAAGTATTATGAAGTAACATAGTTAGATGGAGTGATAGGGAGGTTATTCAGTGAATCTTTGTTTATCGATTCAACACAGTGCGTGTGTAATCGTAATGACGCAACGCCTATACTGAAGATATGGAAAGTGGCAACAAACAACAGCGGAAGATGAAGAGAAAGAGAGAGAGAAAAATACACATAAATTGTGAACCCATGTGACTAAAACTGATAGGATTGTGTGCAATAATTTGTGCTCAAAACGTCATCCAGTTGTTAATACTGCATCACACTGCGTGATATTTTAAATAAACTAATCCAATATTGAATTCCAGAGGACTCTGTTTTTAAGTTTTCCAGCCCTACTCATCAAATATTTGAAGAAACCTCGCGGTTAAACTGGATAACTGAAAGGTGATAATTAATTTGCGTGAAAATCGTCACTAAGCCATAAAAAAGAATAGGTACTCAGGGAAGAGTTAATCTTTTCAGTGACGTCATTCCCAAGCTGTACAATCGTACATGTATGTCATACACTGTTTTAGGAAAAGCAAGGAAAGTTCCTCAGTTGTGTCATTATAATTTTTTACTTTCCGACAGTAATCAATAGATTCGAAGGAGAAATTACATAATACAGGAACAGTAATAAGGTGTTGAAGTTGATTACATATGTTTATGTTAACGTTTTACATCATGATGTTTTTTACATAGCGTATTGGGACGAGGTTGAATAAGTGGCCTAAAGATTACTAACTCGCTAGTTGACCGTTACAGTTTAAAGACCCATCTCCTACAAGCGAATAACCATTTCACTGAAATTCTGAAGCATTGCGCGATAAAAATCTGTCCGTTCTCTACCATTACACTAACTGGCAAACAAGATCTTCTGTTAATTCTATTCCCAATGAATGATAAGAAATGAAGCAGTTTGTTAATTCATGGTGAAACAATGTGAGTCAGCTATTTCACCAGTAGCAGTTCGCCAATATAAGGTTATTTCAGATAATTTTAACATGCATAATATATAGAGAAAGACTGCCTGCAGAGGCCCAACATTTATGGGTGAATCGTCAAAGTTTGGACAGGCGTGGTGTGATGATAGCTGATATATGTGACAAGTTTTGACCAATGAATTATATGGAAACATTACAAGTTTGACAGCGGATTGATATGAGTTAGAGAAGCACTGGAACCCAGGAGCAGGTACTGGACAACTGCTTTGTTCTAGTTTGTAACTCTTCATCAGTAATCAATCACCGGCAAGACTCGAACCCACGACCATCCGGTTACAAGTCAAGCTTTTAGACCATTCAGCTATTGGGACCCGACTCAATCGCCAGCCTATGAATTTTAACTTCTACTAATTTATGTTAGTTTTAGCGCGACCGGCACCAAATAATATTATCCCTGGGGAGTCTTCACTCCCGACCGCGTTGATGGACTCCAACAGTCACGATTTTTCACTAATTCTCATGCTTAGTCTATTTTCCCGATTATATACATACCTTCTTATGAAAATGCTAACAAATGATATACAACTGTTCCCCGGAGCAACACACATATTATTGTACATCGCATGAGTATATTTTTTCTACTTCAGTGATACATAAGACCGAAGTTAAACGTCATATCGCTAGGCTATTCAAATACATTAGAATAAATGTATGCAAATACTATTTCCCTCATAATCCTATGTCGTCTGAATAACTCAGCAACATACAGGTTACTTTCAGTCATTCATGTCCATGAACATCATTACTAAAGTCTGATGTTTTTAAGTTTGCCCATGGATTGACACCTTGATTGAAAATAGCTATCCTGACAAATTTATCAAGAAACACATGACAAAGAAAGCGGAAAAGGACTATTCACTATCCGTAAACAAGAAGCCTCTTTATACATATGACTGCAACTCAAGGGCGATATACCAAGTGAAATAATTACGAAGAAATTAAGAAAATCAGTTCAAAGAACTTTTCATGCTGGCAAACTAGCCACTTCCAATTGTATCTACCAATTCAACTGCGCTTGTGGAGCGAGTTATACTGGCCGTTGCTCTAGGAACATTTCCCAGTATGGCTAAGTAAAGGTGTAGTAAAAACCATCAACAGTTCGATATTAGACCATCTGGTCCAAACCGGCCGGCCACAAAGTCAGCATTGAAGAATCCTTCTCTGTCATCTACCGAGTACCAAACAAATCGCCAAAAACATCCATATACCGAGTAATTCAAACAGCAGAGGTTATCGCGATTCACGTGAAACAAACAGTGCTTTGTGTGCAAAAGAAGCAAGTCCAGCTAGCCAATACTACTGCCCTGACCAGCCTTCAGTGGAGACTATAAATTCATGAATTTGCATTATTTTCTTTCCTAATTTCTCTGTCTGATATTCAGTGTATTTTTATGTTGATGCTATCGGACTGTAATCCAGTGACATAAATATTATTATTGATTTGATTCATTCACTATAATGTATACATAACTGTAGAACTTGATGATGAATTTATCGGAAAGAGTATTCTTTGTTCAGTAACCATTCTTTCGAAAATTTTAATGGGCATTTTTAATCAGTTAGAGAACCATTTAAAAGCAGGACGAATTTTTCAGGAGTTCTAGTGATAAGTCATGAACAGTGGGACCCACCTGATCGGGAGGAAAGACAAACACTCGTCATAGATAACACTGATTAGTGCCAACCGAGCTAAAATAACCACGAATAAATGGGAGCCAGAATTCATGGGCTGGCCATTGAGTCGGGTCCCAATGGCTGAATGGTTTATGAGCTTGCCTTGTAACTGGAAGATGGTGGATTCGAACCCTGGCAGTGAGTGCGTACTGTTGGTCAGTTCCAAACTAAGACAAAGCAGTTTTCCAGTACTCTCCTTCTGGATTCCAATGGTTCTCTTACTGATATCAATCCGTGCCAAATTTTTTTCAAATCTTGATTGCAGTTCATATAAGCTGTGTAATATTCTTATCAAACAAAAATATATATCTAACTGTGATGTACAACTTACCATTTTAGTAGTGTATACTGCATCAATACACGATTCATTTGTAATCTTCAACACCTTAATAATTGGTTGTAATACAGGAATTGTTCCCCAGTCTAATTTTGTTTGTTCAACATGTAGAACTGGACCTTCACCAACACAGCGTACAGGTATTTTCTATTTAATGAAAATTATAAAGGCAATGATTCTACAAATGCAGACACTTACATATTCTTACAAATGAATAAAATGATAAGGTTGGATGAAACCTATACTTATGTTTGTTTAAAACTACCAGAGAAATCAAAATACTGTTTAACTTGTAATTTAGGCCAAACTATGGTGTAAATAAAACGATTAAGCGCATACTTGTTTGTTGACACACTTTGTCTAAAGAATTCCCGTCAGTCATTCATAATTCAAAACGGGCTGATGGCATAGGATGTTTACCCAAGGTAGTGAAATACATAGCGTCGGTGGCACAGCGGTAGAATGCTCGCCAACCACGCATGTGGTCCAGGGCTCTATCCCCGGCCACTGACGCACTCCTTCACCTCACTAAACCAGTAATAAGACTGGTAAAGAGGGAAGGTTGGGCATGAGGCTAGCAACGCCATCCCGTAAAATAAACATCACTGTTACCGAAACTTCAAGCCTCTAGCTTGAAGCCCTATGTTCCTCTGGGAAGGAATGAAAAAAAGTGAAATACATCAACACAAATATATTCCTTTAGAGAACCATTGAAAACCAGCACAGGAGTACTGGACAGCTGTTTCATCCCATTAGTTTGGGAATCATCGGCAGTCCGCACCCACCGCCAGGGTTCGAACCCACGACCTTCCAGTTACAAGGTAATCGCGTATACCATTCAGCCACTGGGACCCGATTCAATGGCTCATGAATTCAACTCGTAAAAACAAAACTAATCTTTACAAACCAAATATAGAAAAAAACAAATATATCCAAATTTCGTTTCACAATCACTATTCAAAATAGATAATGTATGTACATAATATATATAATATATTAATATTGTTCCCTTGGATTCCTAGTAAAATACAGAGCTTCAACAGAACATTTCCACCTTTTCCTATTTTCAATAGTCCTCTTGAGCTGGACCCACGATTGCCACTAATCTCTCATCTCCTCTTCTCACAATCTCCTCCATATCACCCTCGGACACACGCCCCACTTGTCGTTTCTCATTCACCTTCCTTTCAAGTGAGGGCCTGTATTATACGTGATATCATTGAACGGCCTCCTCAGCGTGTCCCTAATCTGTATCCATTTTCTTCTACATATTTGTTGAGCGGTCGGCTCTTGGTTGGTTCGTTGGCAGCCAGAGTTTCTTGTTGTTAATTCTTTCTGGCCAGCAGGCCATTGGATCTTCAATATGGAGCCGGGGAGGCAGTTAATGATGAAAGTCTGCAACTGGCTGTTGGAAATGATTTTCGTGAATTGTGCTCACAGATTTTGACCGATTGAGAAGAAGTGACTGATTGACTTAACATTTGTGTGGAAAATCCAAAACTTGTTGTTTATGCTGAGTGTAGAAGATTTGCAGACTGATTTCAGAGTGTTGGAAATGTACTCCCCCTTTCTGATTCTGGCTTTGATACCGTCATCCGTTCCTCCGGTGGTTGAAAGGATGTTTTCTAGATAAGTGACAGAAGTAACATCTTTCAAATTCCCTCCGTTTATGCTGATTGGTGCTGCTTGTTGTTGTCGTTGGTTGGTTAGAAGCTCAGTTATAGATTCAGACAATAATACATTTTATCTATTGTGTAATACCATATTGTCTCTTCCTTCGATTCCTGTGATTAGCAGGTTTACAACGTGAACATCTGTTTATTTCAGAGGTTAGTACGACTCGGTATATGCCACAGTTTGACTAAGAAAAAACGATAGATCAAACAATGAACTCCATTATGGATAAAATTTTATTTTGATTAAATCACACAGTGTTATACCAGAGATATGGAAGATATTATTACCAGTCAAATCAGAGGATATTAAATAATGTTAAAAAATATATTCAAACTGTGTGACACTTTATCAAAATAAAATTTTATCCATATTGGAGTTATACTCTACCACAGTGCCCAATTTTTATCCTTGTATATCAAACAACGAACGATTTGATTTTCGAGATCTCTTGACTAAATCTGTTCTTTTTTCAAAAGTGATGGAAAATTCCCGTTTTAACATATAGAGAATCAAAACAAGTGATTCAGAAAAAAGACTCTTTTCAACAACGAATTTATTATCAAGCTATACAATCGTATATATATGGTTATTTTAAGAAATTATATCCGGTGAGGGAATTGAAACATAGGTGTGAATGCATAAATAATGATAGTGTGAAATGCAATTAAGAAGAAATAAGAAGCGGGATCATTGAACATCTGGTCGATAATGATCACCCTGTCTCTACAGCCTCTGCCTTTGAAGTCAACAACTAGGTGAAAAATAACTTGCTCAGATCATTGAGTACCTGATTCATCTGTATTGCTGAATCTTTGGCCATCGAAATAGAAATTCCAGATCTGTGTATACAGGTAAAGTTCGTTCAACCCCTCCACTCCAACTTTCATGGTCTTAATCCCTCTATGCTAAAGTATGGTAATCCCTAATCATATTTTGGCTCTACCAATTTTTCATTTTTTTATTTTTGTCTATTCAATTTGTATACTCTTCCTTTATTACATCAATTGTTACTATTACTATTCTCACTTTGAACTGTCCCAGGTATTATTTCACTTGTCATTCTAAATCAATTCCTTTTTGCAACGTTAAATTCTATGCTATCAAATTTCACACAATATTACGTAACGTTTTTATTTTATTCGATTTACCTACTAGTCCCATAATTGCACACCCCTTTCAAGTTCTATACATCCTATGAATTATTTATTCTATATATGACATTAATTGTTTTGCTACTTGACATTTAACTATGATTATAATCATAAACATTTTAATTGCATTTCATACTACTATTATTATTTTATGCATTCACACCTATGATTCAATCCCCTCACCGGATATAACTTCTTGAAAAAAAAACCATAAATATACGATTGTACAGCTTGATAATGAATTCGCTGTTGAAAAGAGTCTCTTCGCTGAATCACTTGTTTTGATTTTCTTTATCAAAATGTACAAATGTAGTTTTATTCATATGTGAAGTTCAGCCTCACAGACAACTTGCTAAAACAGAAATTGTCCATTTTTAAGGTCTTTGACTATGCTGATAGTTCACTTAAGCTAAGATCTTGCGCTTTAGAGTTCGACTGAGAACACTATTATTCACCGGTATGAAGATGCATCCACCCAGAGAGTTTTAGATTGGATGAAACACCAATTTAACTTGAAGATATCGTTGAATCATTCAAACTAGGAACTAACATATGGACAGAAACCCAACAAAATGAATCACAAGGAGAAATTAAAATTAGTTCCTAGTAATGGGATTAATGAAAACAATCAGTATTAAACAGTCGGAGAATCGTTTAACTCTAAAGTTACTTACCAATGGATTTTCATTTATACCACAAATTTTTATGTATAATTCAGTTGTGATCAGTCCCAGGGTTTTTGCTTTAAATGTTACAGGCAACTTAACTGAATCTGATGCACTAATGATTCCCTGGAGAATAAAGAAAATGAATTACTCGTTAAAACTCTATTTATACTTTTATATGAGTCTTAGCAATAAGAAGTTAAGTAGTTACAACCGATCAAAATATTCATTTAGGCAGAATTATCAAGTTCATATTTTACAAATTGGTTAGAAGTTAGCAGTCCACACAGTTCAAGTGGTGAAATTTTACCACAGTTTCCTTTGGAGACCAAGTTATTCAGATCACCACAATATGTGATCCGCTTGACACCATAAATAGTAATCAAGAAAGCAGGAAAATTTGAATCCACCAATTAACTTCTAATTACATGCCCAGACATCGTCGAAACATCTACACAAGAAACCGACATGTCAACCTGAGACCGAACACTTCGGTCCAATCAATCGACAGGAAAATCTAAAATGCAATTAAATAATTAATATGCACAAGAGGTGGCTCTCGTGGCCCAAGTGGTCTAGTGGATAACGCTTTGGCGTTTGAAACTATGGGTACTGGGTACATCCAGATGACGAGCCTCAAATGGGACGAAATGCGCATCCTGGATTCCACTGCTAGTCACCATCCACCGAGTAACTTCAAAACTACATACTACCGATTGACTGAGATGAGTAGTTGCTCACTACTGATATCAACAAGTAATGCTTGCTAGCCAGACTGAGGTGAGCTGAACTGATTCATCTCTCTGAGATGAGGCGGACCGAGTACACCGCTGATGATCTCGGCCCCAAACGAGCGAAACGGTGGTCTGTTGTTTAGATTGAGTCGATCTGGCTTGCTGGCTGGCTCTACTGGTGGCGGCCTGCTTAAATAACTGGGCTATCAGAATTTCCATCCATCAAAGTGCTGCTTAAACTCTTCTATACTTCTTATTGTTTTAATCGTTCAATTACATCAAATGTTCAATACATGAACTCGCGCGCATATTTAATTAGCTTCTCACTATACGCTATGCAATTTTCGAAGGAATTGAAGGGAAAATGTACAGAATTGGTTCTCTCCTCATATGCGGCAACACTACGACAAATGATGAACTTCAGATTACTGCTTTACATGTAAATTATGTTATTATATTATCATTGTTTCCTTCAGTTCCTAGAGGAACATAGGGATTCAGCTGCACGTCTGCATTGTGTTCGGTTCTCCACCAACTTTTTCACCTGGCTCCACGTCTGGCTACATGCTTTCATCTCCTCTTCACATGACCTCCTCCACTCATGTCACTCTCGAACTGACGACCAACTAGCCGCTTCCCATTCGAGTTCCACTCGAGCGATGGCCTGGCTTGTAATCTCACTTGATGGTTTTTTCTCAGAGTATTGCCAATCCACCTCCATTTCTTCCTGCATATTTGTTGCGCAATTGGTTCCTGCTGAGTTGGTTTGCTCCCAGAGATCCCTGTTGCTGATCTTTTCTGGCCGGCCATCTGATCTTGAGTAGTATTGAACGAAGACAGCTGTTGATGAAAGTCTGTAGTTTGTTCGAAGTGCCCTTCGTGACAAAGTGCCAAGTCTGTGATCTGTATAGTAGCACTGACTTCACATTGGAGTTGAAAATCCGGATCTTATTTTTCATGCTGAGTTCTGTTGATCTCCACATAGACTTGAGAGTATGAAGAGGAAATATTTTGGAACTACATACGCTGAAGGTTTCTGTAATATATGTTCACATATTGTCTGTAATGAAGCTTTACTATTATTATTATTATATGAATGGTATGTGCAACTACTCATCTCAGTTAATCAGTAGTATATAGTTTTAGGCAGAATAATGTTGCTGTAAATAATGTTATGTAATTTACTTCCATGTTGTGATGTTTATTAAGTTTTTGTCCAGAATTAAAAACATGCTTTCTCATGGTTTGGCTGCGAAGCCCTCCTTCTCATTCTAGACAACATCTTCAACGCTTACTTCAGAGTGAAATGAGGGTTAGGGATTCAACCGTCTTTCCCCATGACCGTGTATGTGATTGGTTTATCCTGAAGACTTTATTATTAGTTAGAGGATTTCATCATGAGCTGACATTAGTTAGAGAACCACTGGAAAACCAGGGAGTACTGCGCAGCCGTTTCGTCCTAGTTTGGGACTCTTCATCATTACTCACCCACCAACAGGGTTGTAACCCAGGATCTTCTGTTTACAAGGCAAAGGTGAGGACAGCTACTCATCGAAGAAGACACTGAGAAGTAGTCGCGCTCTGTCGTGAATTGGCAGAAGCTGGACTTCATAGGCTGGCCATTGGATAGGGTCTCAGTGGCTTAATGGTATACGAGCTGGCCTTTTAACTAGGAGGTCCTGGGTCCGAACCCTGTCGGTGGGTGCGTACTGTGAAGAGTCTCAAAATAGTGGGATGAAATAGCTGTCCAGTCCTCCCAGGTGGTTTTCCATTGGTTCTCTAACCTATGTCAGCTCATGATGAAATCCTTCAACCAATCAAACAAAATCCCTACAAACCTATACCTGAAAACTTTCTTGATAGTTTATTCACTCGTATCAGTGTCAGATATTTTAGCCGTGTGACTTTCTGTCTACTGAATGATAAATCTGATCTATTTAGAGGGACGATACAAGCATGGCTGTTTAACCGTTCCTTTCACAGCACACAACAGCTTTAAAAATATCCTTATTATTTGAAAACTCTAAATGCTAAGACTATCACCTTTGAGGAAATAGGGAAAAGCAGTCAATGAGGGGGTGAGGCTGTATCTGTTGGGATGGCTAGGACACATGTTATCCATATGAAACCATCTCCTTCTTAGTCTATTAATGTTAGATGATGTAGGATTAGTTTGGAAAAACGGGTTAGGATTAGTACAGCTAAAGCATTACATCAACCCATTAAGTTTGACAACTGTTTTGAGTTAGATATAGATTTATAAGCTACCCAGATGAGGTCTTCGTGACGCTAAGAACCACTGACTGGAGAGTGTTGGTAACACAACTGAGAATCGTTCTCAATGACACAAATACAATTACTTTTTGTGATCTCTTTGGAGCCATTAGAACCACATCATTCTCTGTGTAATTAATCTTTCTTCCGCACATTTCTGTTCATTAAAGTACTTTCCTTTTGTGTCATTTCACCTTCATATGTGCTTTTTGAAGTTCAGCAGTCTGAGCGGCTGTACTTCAGAGCAAGGTTTTATGCTGAAAGTTAAGTTTTAATTAATCTATTGAAAAGTCGTGCATCGGTGGCATAGCGGTTAGGACGCTTGCCGACCATGCACATGGTCCGGGGTTCGAGCCCCGGCCGACGAACTCCTTTACCTCGCTAAGCCAAAAATAATGCTGATAAAGAGGAAAGGTTGGGCATGAGGCTAGCAACCCCATCCTTTAAAATAAACACTGCTACAGAAACTTCAAGCCACTAGCTTGAAGCCCTATGTTCCACGTGAAGGATAAAAAAATTACTAAGGTCAAATAAACCAACCACAAAATATCTTGGCGAGAAGTAATTATTATTACAGCTCGATTATAATTGTTCAAAACTAATAACTTTATAAGACTATTCAAACTCTTGAATCAAATTGTCAAATCATATTCGTGTTTTATTGATTAAACACAAAGTGATAATCAATGTCTTGAGTCCAGTCCTTCGTTTGGCGCATACTGAAATCTATCAGTCGAGTTTGCATTGTGACCAACATGTCAGGTGGCTCGACATCACTGAGCACTCTGAATTGTTGTTATTGGATGGTTGGAGGCAGTTAACAGAAAGTATTGAACCTGGTTTTCGTGCTTGTTGGCGCTCATCAGTCATTCACATGTGAAATTTTGGGGGAACTCATGTCCTCACTAGCTCAGTGATAACATCTTTGACAGCAGAACTAGATGACTCGAGTTTTAAATCTCAGAAAGGGCATGCGTCTATTCAAGATTGAAGATAACCCATGACGACAAGTACTCACAATTGGAAGACGCAGGTCCAAGGCTTCTTGCTGATTACCTACAACCAACTAACAAAGTCATTTGTATCAGATGAAAAGAACAATTTTGATACAAGCCATGTGAACTTAGTAGTCGAAGTACTTGAGATCTTTTGGGCAAAAGACAGATGTTTTATATATTAGATGGTGACCGATGGTGAGATGAAAATCTCGGGCTTAATAGGATTCTAACCAGTTGCTGGCACTTTGTCAGCTGGACTACGAGATCCAACTGTTGACTAGATCACTATTTCACTAAGACTATTAAAGGTTATGCAGCAGCTATCGTGTGAAGGAATGATACCTTACTGTCAGTTTCATTTCAGTAATTATCCTCACTCACTATATCACTAACAGTCCTTCAACTAAGGACCATCTCAGACAGTTCCATTATGGTGAGATTTGTCTGCAAGACAGAATTGTAGACAACAATTGACGTCAATGTTTACGTACCAAATCGAGGTCATGAGGAAAAAAGAATAACAAAGCTTAACCTTGAGGAACTCAACAATCAATCATAGCAGACTTAACATGGGCAGATACGATTCGCAGATATATGGCTTAACTTTCTAAGAAACGGTCACAAGCAGTACAGAATAACCTTCACCAAGAAAATAACCAATCAGAAGACGTTGCTTCTCTGCTTACAACAACGAATAAACGAACTGTTGCCTGGCCCTTGTCTCCTGTCGTTACAACATCATCATCAACATAAATTTATATAGGAGTTGTAAATATTTCCCAAAATAATTTCTTATTCAAACATATTTGATTCAAAAAGAATAGGCCTTACCTTTGAGTCATTTGTCCAATATTGTAGTTTATTGTCATCGTCATCAGAGTACTTTCCGACAGCGGGTGTCCTTGTTGACTGGTTTATTTCTTTCATCTTTGATGCCTGTTCTACAAATTGATAACTAGCAGGTTGTGTTGACTGATTTGTGAGTGTAAGCTCAACCAAATACGGATGATTTATAAAACACCGTGTCAAATTTATATATTCTGGTGTTACAACTACATCTGGACGAATAGCTCTACGATGAAAAGTAAAAACCAGAAACAATAATACACATTGTTTGTTTAAATAAAAGTGATCATTTTAAATGTTATAATAGTATGTCAATATATTATCTGAGAGAGATGGTTGTATTGTGGAAATGAATGTTTTGGGGCAGTTGAATAGTATCATGACGGTTTTAACAATCTAACTGTTCTTTTAGACAGAGTGATAAAGCACTTTGAAATGATCCTCGAAAATACCCGCTGAATCATGAAGAAAATAAAAGACAATTCAGGGAAGAAAATTTTTTCTTATTGAGGAAATAATCTTAAGAGGATGTACAGTCATTTGTAAAAAATTATATTTGTAAAATCTCAGCGAGATTGAAATGAGTAATTCCAACGTTTCGTTCGGCAATCTGGTCCGAACTTCTTCAGGGAAATTAATCAAAATTAACATAACAGAGGTTTATATATAAAAGGAACATCACTTGTTTTTAAAAACTTTGTCCAATCATGAGTCATTCAACAAGTATCAACAAGTATAATAAACAAAATTTTATGAGCTGTGATCAAAATTTGACCTCGGACTTACAAATATTGGTCTACCTTTGTTAAACACTTTAAACAGAGTGTGTATGTGTGTGTGGGTAAACAGTTGTAAAACATTTCTTAACGTCTCCATAAGAAGATATGGACAGTCGAGAATTTTGACCAAGTATTAATAATTAGTGATACATATCCATTTTTTATTTATTAATAAGAATTTCCTATGCATCAGCTAACATCACACCTTCATGTCTGTTCACACTGTTAGTATCTAGAATTTTATGATTAGACGTATTTTCAAAATTATGGTGTTTAGGATTGGAGTTTAGTAGAAGCACCCTGTCGGACTTATTGCTTTGTCTTCTTCCTGAAGATTGAGCTGCTTTATTCGACCTACTGGAGTTGTCAGGTGACTCGACAGCTACGGATTTAGAATATGCATTCTGTTGCAGACAACGGAGAGTGAAAACACGATGATTGTGCCGGTTACACAGTTTCTTTGTTAATTTAATTCGATTGCAAAATAATTCAAATGAACTGTCGTCAAGATTTTACAGAATAGTTCTAAAATATTAAGGCGCCGAGTGAGAAGTACACATTTGTAAAAAATTATATTTCTAAAATCTCAGCGAGATTGAAATGAGTAATTCCAACGTTTAGAACTATTCTGTGAAATGCTGACGACAGTTCATTTGGATGTACAGTCATATTTAGATTTTCAAGACTTGGTTTGTAAGGATTAGTTTTGGTTTCACGAGTTGATCACAGACTGATATCATTTAGAGAACTAATGAAAACCAGCACTGGAGTACTGGACAGCTGTTTCATCCCACTAGTTAGGGAATCATCGGAAGTACGGACACACTGCCAGGGTTCGAACTCAGGACCTTCCAGTTACAAGGTAATAGCCTTTTGCCTTTTAGCCACTGAGAACCGATTCAATGGCCAGCACACGAATTCTAACTTCTACCAGTTCGTGATTTAGCGCATACTATCAATGATTCCCAAAACTAGGCTGATGAAACAGCTGTCCAGTACTCCAGTGCTGGTTTTCATTAGTTCTCTAAATGATATCAATCCGTAGTAAAACTCGTAAAACCATATTTAGATTTACCAAAAATGCATGGTAGTGTATTACTGAGTAATAGGGGGGTGACATAATTGATATGATTAACTAATACTCAGCAATGGCACAAAGGGAGAAAGAGTTAGAAATTTGATAAGGTTAAAGTTACTAATGAATGAAAAGAAAGGTAGTTCAGTCTCCATTTAACAAGTGTGAACAGGGTGAGAAAATGTACAAAATGAACCTATAAGAGTGATAATAATGAATTAACTTCTGAAGTAAAAGCAAATTGACAAAATAAGAGACTGCGCAAACGTTTCTGTATGCAGAGTTCGGGGTTGTATTCATGAATTGTCAACACCTCCGCCGTGCACAAGTGCTGAAACCTAACACCCTTTGTACCATTCGGTCTTACCATGTGAATAATCTTGATAGACGACTCCGGTGGAGCTGCGTGTCTTGAGTTCACCAAGTGCTCGAGAACTGAGGCAGTAAATATCCTGCATTGTCCTTTTGCTAACCATGACGGATAATGTTTTGAGACGCGTTTTGAAAGTGTTCGCTTTATGCACCTAACATAACTACTAGCTTCACAGGAACAAGTGAACTTATAGATACACATTAAAGTAAAGTGGCCCGAAGTGACAGTTTATCTTTCAAACATCCATTGTTCATTTGTCGGCTGTAAAAACTAATCCCTAGTACAATCGCAAACTCTGTATACAGAAAACGTTTGTCCAGTCTCTCATTCTACCGTGGTCCTAAACTACTTATCAATGGTTCCCGATAATTTTTTACTCTCATTTTTAATTGTTAGTTTGCTTTTTTAAAAGCCAATTCACCATTATCCATCTCACACGTTTCTTTTGCACATTCCCTCAACCTATTCATAGTTATTAAACGGAAACTCAACTAATTCCATATTAGTTTGTTTATTAGGTACATCACACAGTGAAACAGTATTATTTACTGGATGACGTTTCGAACAAAATTTATTGTTCATAATCATATCAATTGTGATCACACGACTTTGACACTTGAGTTTTATAGTTTTCTTTGTTCTCTCCTATTTGTCTTATGGGTAGTAGAATTTTCCAGATATCTGGGACAGGTGATGAATCATTCCTATCACATGTATTTGTAGTTGATTCGATAAACAAAGGAAGGAACCTCGGAAGCCTTACGCAGAATTCTTAACAAGGCAGGAATAAAAATGGCATTCAAATCCACAAACTCAATTAGAAACAAGATTTGTCGGTTAAAGGATCAATCCTGTGGTGCCTTTAAAACAAAACAATTTAGTTTATCTCATACCCTGTAATGATTGTCAGGTCAAATACATAGGTCAAACTAGTAGAACAGGGGCAGTCAGAGTAGCTGAACATAAAAACCTAGCAAAATCTAGATTGGTTGACCCGAATAAAATAAGAAATCTAGAGAATAGTTCAGCTATAGCACTACATGCAGTCACACACAACCATACAATAGGATGGGATAGGATGACAGTTTTAAAATCTAATGTCACAGGGTATAGGGAGAGATTGATAACAGAAGCTTTGTTTATCGAATCAACTACAAATACATGTAATAGGAATGATTCATCACCTGTCCCAGATATCTGGAAAATTCTACTACCCATAAGACAAATAGGAGAGAACAAAGAAAACTATAAAACTCAAGTGTCAAAGTCGTGTGATCACAATTGATATGATTATGAACAATAAATTTTGTTCGAAACGTCATCCAGTAAATAATACTGTTTCACTGTGTGATATACCTAATAAAAAAACTAATAAGGAAACTCAACTACCTTTCTTCTCATTCAATAGTAATTCTAATTTAATTTTAATTTTTAATTATAACTGTAGAGCCTGAAGAAGTTATCGAAAACAATTGTTCGCTCAAAATCTTGTTTTAATTTTAATCGAATCAAATTTCTAACCCTTTCTTCCTTTGTGGCGTTGTTGAGTATTAGTTAATTATATCATTTATGTCACTACCCCCCGTATGTTACTCAATAATAGACTACTATACATTTTTGGTGAAAATATAAATACTACTATACAGCCTGTGAAGATGATTTCGTCAATCAGTAAAACTTTCTTCTTTGAATTCTCTGTTGTCTTCTCCATTCGGAATAACTGTTACAAACAAACAAGCATGGCTACTTCATTCAATTCTATGTAGACGCAACTACTCAAACGGAAGTGAAGATAAAAATCAACATTATCTACAAATTTTCTATAGTTTGGTTTGTAAGGATTAGTTTTGTTGTTACGAGTTTATCACGGATTGATATCTCCAGTGCCAACTTTATTATCTTCTACTTTTCAGCGTGTAAAAGCTTGTAGTGTTAAGCAATAAAGAAGAGCTGAGTGTGCATAATATCTAGAATGAGCGACCACTAGACAGTAATCGTCCACGCTAAATGAAATTCATCAGTCAAGTTTTCAAGGTGATCACCTAACCAGGAGACTTTCCATTGCAGTACATTTTCAACTGATGTTAGATGATTGAAGACAGTCCATAGTAAGTCTCTAACTTAAGAGTTGTGCTTATTAGCACTCATCAGTAATGGTATATCTCCAACCTCGAGGAATCTCATGTTCCCTGGGATATACACACCTGCGATACTCAGCTTTTCAGATGGAGACATTAACACCCACCACGAATTCTAGATGGACTATAATCATTACATGGATTAATAACTGTCAAGTCATCAGTGGCGACTGATTTCTAATAAGTACGAGAGCCAGGTCTGGGCCCTGCTTCCATTACCTATCATCATCTGGTAAGACACAGTATTTGTGGAGAGACATATTTCTTCGGTCTTCTTCGAACACAGTAACAAATCATTATGATATCCTCAAAGTACCTCATAAAGCCATCCTAATTAACTTACAGTGTTTCGAAAACATTTCAAAAATACATTCATCAGAGGCATAACTTACTCCACAAATATTGGTATCCAATGCTCTTCCTTACCAACATTTACAACGTCAACAATAAGTTTATACTTTCGACAACCTAAACACTTTGGGCTGAAACGTATTACTATGTTGATTGAACTCATTGCCAATAGATTTCCATTGCTTGGTGTAATCTGAAATGCTGTCAGGTCAGAAGTTTCATGTGAATACTGCTCCCGGATGAGTGATGTACATGCTGATTCATCACTATTATCATTATTATCATTACTACTAAGTGGAATTGTATTGAGCAGTTCAGTTTTACTGTCGACATTATCATCGTGGACGACACGAAGAATAAAATCCATTGGTATAAATGAGGTATTATGTAGAGTTATTGTCTTTTCTTCAGAGAAACCTTTTAACAAAGATATAGAATGTAATAAAATATAAGTGTAGTGTTGAACGCAAACTCCAAAAAAATTAGTTATAGACATAGAAACAAAAAAACTTTCCTTTATGGATATCCAGTAATATTTACTGATGCCACCATGTTTCGAGCACAATTTCTCATTGCCACTCATAATCATATCAACGCACTACTCACACAAGTTTCTTACTTCGTTTATATAATTCCATTATTTTCCGTGATGAAGATTCCTGGCCAACAGCAACAGCAGCAACAACAGACAACAATCAGCCAGCATAAATGGGAGGAATCTGAAAGAAGCAATCTCCTTTACCTACCTACCTGGGAAGCATAATTTCAAATACAGGCAGAACTGACGGGGATATCAAAGCAAGAATCGGAAGAGCAAGACAAGCTTTCATTACTCTCAAGTCTGTGTGGAGATCAGCAGCACTAAGCATCAAAAATAATATCCGGATTTTCAACTCCAATGTGAAGTCAGTCAGTGCTACTATACGGATCAGAGACTTGCACCGCGCGCCATAAAGAGCATCTCAAACAAACTACAGACCTTCATCAACAGTTGTCTTCGCTCAATACTCAAGATCAGATGGCCGGCCAGAAAAGATCAGCAACAGAGATCTCTGGCAATGAGCGAACCAACCAGGAACCGATTACGAAACAAAGAGGCAGGAAGAAATGGAGATGGATTGGCCACACTCTGAGGAAACCATCAAGTGACATCACTAGACAAGCCATTGCCCGAGTGGAACCCGAAAGGGAAGCGGCGAGTTGGTCATCAGTGCAAGGGTGACTTGGAGGAGGTCATGTGAAGAGGAGATGAAAGCATGTGGGCAGACATGGAGCCAGGTGAAGACTCTAGCAGAGAACCGAACGCAATGGAGACGCGCGGCTGAAGTCCTATTTTCCTCTAGGAATTAAAGGAAACAATAATAATAATGTGCAGACTAGCGTTTGACCTCCTTAAGGACTGTCCTCCATACTTTTGATTGGACAGTAGTTAGTAACAAGTGTAATGTGTCTCGTCCTTTGCCTGGCTCAAACTGAATTCTTTCAGTCAAGTTTGCAATGTTTTATGGTCAATTCCGCGTAGATCACTGGATAACGGTTACAAGTCTGTTCTTCGTGATTCCCCAAATTTCTGTAATTGATTTCTCTCCTTAACTTTGTTGTATTCAATACAGAGCCAATAATTTATGACCTATAAGCCACTGCTTTATTAATTTCTAAAGTAGTTGGGACTAACGTTAACAGTTGTTAATTATTCATAATATTTGCTAGATGTAAATAGCTATAAAACCGAGATTATGATAACATACTACTAATATATTACTCAAAGTAGTATAAATTACATTGCGGAAGAAATAATAAATATAAATATAAGCTGATTATAGTTCATTTTTACCGTATGATACTTGATTGAATTCCACTGATGAAACATTGAAATGAAACGTTGGTCCAACTACGGTACCACTAAAAATCAAAATCAAATATAGACATCAAATACTATTAAATGTGATTGTTTGATGTAATTACTCGGAAATACAATAATAATAATAATCTTCATGTATTGGTTTTGTAGGGATTTGTTTGAGCCCAGAAGGTCCTGATTTCAAACCCCCGCGGGTAAGTACTGATGAAGAGTCGCAATCCAGGTCGAAACAGCTCTCAAGTACTCTCAGGTTTTCCAATGGTTCTCTAACTGATGTCAGTTTATGATGAAATCCTCTAATCAGTGATAATAATAATAATAATAATAATAATAATAATAAAGGAAGTAACTTAATGACATTCAGAACCCCCTATTTTAAAGTGTGAGTTTCTGTAGGGCTTTAATTTATTTCCAATTTATATGATGAACTTGCTTCAGTTAAATCATTGTTGGAGGTTAGAAGTGATGGAAAATTGGTTTCTGTCCCAGTGAATAAATGATCAATCAGACCATGTGCTATAAATCACATGGCTACCTGAATTTCTATTCAGTATTGCCCATGAACTATCCTACTGTGTGGAATAAATCCACTAGTATTATTAACTCAAAGGTTGTGAATTCAATCCCTGATAAATTAATGGATGCGTACTGCTGAAAAGTCCCAAACAAGGATGAAGCAGTCCCCTCCTGTTTCTCTAATTTAAAGTCATCGCGTAATTAAACTTGAAATCTATATTCGAAGTGAGTTGAGGAGAAAAAATTATCAAAACCACTGAAAAACAGCAAAAATGGAATTACATGTGTCAAATTTATTGAATTCATTGCCGATTTGAATGTACATGTGGTCATACATACATAGGGAAGATTCATCGGCCTCTGAAAGTAAAGGCTGGCTTCACAGCATACTCCTAAATAGCCTCAGAAGCAAACAGAATCTCCAGAATCCATTAACGGTGAGAACAGGAGACCTAAGTCCTCTATTATGAGAAACACATATTATGGAGACAGGACATAAAATTGACGTTTCCACACATCTTTCAAACCTACCTACTGAACGTGTTTGGAGGAGGGTATCCTTAAGTTTGTGGAAGCACTATCAATCAGGAGGTTTAAGACACCTTTATGTGTTCAAAAACAACTCGTCATCAAACTAAACCTTCCTTGGTAAACTTTGTTATGATACCAGTCAGGGCAGATGTACTAATACCTCTCTTATTTGGTTTAGTGATCTTCATTGTTATTTTGACCTTCAACATGTCCTTTTAAACTGGCCTAAGTCTATTTTCTCACCTCTTAACTCTTTATTAATTTCATATATGTATATTCCTATGACAAGTACGTGTATTGTGATCAGGCTGTTCGAAATATGTTGCACGCAAATACATTACAACACGATTCAGGCAAATTACGTCTTCTTATTGCTTTGTCTGAATTCACCACGCCTCATCCTGTATGTAGGGTCAGTATAGAGGAATTAAAGAAAGCTAAGCCTGAGAAACAGATTGGATTTGGGTGCCAAAAGACTGTATCTATTAGATATTCTCTTCTTTAAGATGTCAGCCAGAAGGTGGCCTCTTAACGCTAAATTTATGTATGGCACATCGAAACATTTTATGCTTGGTGATACTTATCAGCGAAACTAAGTGAAAAATTAATCTCTCTCTTGGGTTCCAAGCGGCTTCACTAACTACTAATCAGGTTACTAGGCAAGAAGATTCCAATGAAATCACTCGGTTCACTCCGATGTAAAATAGATGCCTTCTGAAATATGTTTAAGGTAATAAATGGTCGCGCTATGTCGTGAATTGACAGAAGTTAGAATTCAAGGACCATTGGATCGGGTCTACGAGCTCGGCTTGTAACCAGATGGTCCTGGATTCGAATCCCGGTGGGTGCGTACTGTGGAGAGTCCCGAACTAGGACGAAACGGCTGTCCAGTGCTCCAAGGTGGTTTTCCAGTGGTTCTCTAACTGATGTCAGCTCATGAAATCCTCCATGCAATAAAATAATAAACGCAGTAAACAGCGTTAATTTCACCTGAAGCACCGGTTAAAAGCTAAACTGGATATCGTTTAGTACTAAGAATGATGGGTTCTGGGTTGGAATCACACTGTGGTAACACTATCCAACCATGGAGATGTAAGTACATCCTCATGATGGGTCCTAAACAGGACGAAAAGCGCTTCATAAATTCCACTGCTAGTCATCACAAACCAAGGAATACTAAATGATACAGTTGAGTATACAATCAGATATCCATTATTGAAATAATTTCTCACCTGAATGTAATCTCTTCAGCTGTCGGTGATCCATCAAATACAAACTTAAAGGTTTCATTAAATTCTCCAAGTAAATCATCACATTTAAATTCAATTTGTATAACTTGATATCCACCAGGACAGATCAGTCCTTCATCTGGTGTAAAATGAAAATATTTTGCGAAACGTCGAATGCACTGATTATTGACATCTACATCTTCGGAGGAAGTATTAACAACATCGTCGTCATCCTCAGGTGAGGCAACGACATTTTTCGATTGAATTGAAAACATTGTATCAATCAATCCACTATTGGATAGAACTAGCTCATATTTATGCTTTGAACCAATAAACAATTTGCCCATATTTAAACATTTAAATGAAAATTTAATTTTTGGTCCTAATCCTTCCCCGTGTATAGTTAAACTTAGTCGTTCTGTTAGTCCTTCAACATCACAATAAAATATATCTTGATAGGATTTAACTTTTTCTGGATTAAAGTGTAAAGTGAATTCTTGTGATGAATAGGGTTGAATACGTCCTTCAATAGGTTCAATGTTGAATGGTGAACATTCAGCTGTTTGAATACTTGTTGGATAGGGCTATATTTGAATTTAAATACAAAAAATACGAAAAAAAAACAATGCAAGGTTTACTGTGCAGAAAATTTTCCATGTCGATGAAGTCAGTCTGTGGTGTGAGCTGTCTGCTAGTCAAAATTGGTAGACAGCAATTTACGTCAATGTTTACTTCCCAAATCTTGGTTATGAGAAAAAACAAGGACTAAGACTAACCTTGAGGAACTCAACAATCAATCACAGCAGACTTAGTGTGGGCGGATAAGATTCGCAGATATATCAACGGACTGTCTAAGAAATGGCAACAAAGAGATGACGGAATAACCTTCAACAGGAAAACAACCAATCAGAAGACGTTGCTTCTCTGCTAACAATAACGAATAATAATGTACATAAAAGTCTATAAATATCTGTTGATTTTCTCAATAAACGATGTGTTGCCTGGCCCTTGTCTTCTGTCGTTACAAGTCGTACCTGTCAGTCTTACTTGTATTTCCTAAAACAATAGGGTAGACTATTATTGAGCAATAAGAGTTTGTGATATAACTAATATGGTAACTCAGATACGGAAGAAACTGCGTGAAATACAACGACACAACAGAATTAAAAGTTTAAGATTTAGCAACGTTAAGGTTGGTGCGTTGGTGGCACAGCGGTAGAATGCTCGCCAACCAAGCATGTGGTCCGGGGTTCGATCCCCAGCCGTCACACTCCTTTACCTCGCTAAGCCACTAATAGTGTAACGACAGAAGACAAGGGCCGGGCAACAGATCGTTTATTGAGAAAATCAAGAGGTATTTATAGATTTTTGTGTACATTATTGTTAACGGAGAAGCAACCACTTCTGATTGGTTGCTTTCTTGCTGAAGGCTGTTCTGTTACCTATTTGTCGTCATTTCTCGGAAAATCAAGTCATATATCTGCGAACCATAGTTTCACATGTTAGCTCCGCTGTGATTGGCTAGCGATTTTCTCAAGGTTAGGCTTTGTTATTGTTCTTTCTCATGACCCTGATTAGGGACGTAAAAATTGACGTAAATTGTTGTCTGCAATTTTAGCTTGCAGCTAGCTGTCACCACAATAGGACTGGTGAAGAGGGAAGGTTGAGCATGAGGTTAGCAACTCCATCTCGTAAAAATAAACACCAGTACTACTGAAACTTTAGGCTTCTAGCTTGAAGCCCTATGTTCCACTGGGAACGTAAAGGAATTAAAAAACGTTAAGGTTGTGATCTGATCAGAAGCAAAGTGGTTGAGTATCTACTTGATAAGTGTGAAGGTGTCAGAAAGATAGCAACTGGTAATACTTACAAAATGGAACATGTGATGAGTGGTAATATTGATTTATTTAATAAAAATGGCAGCAAAGAAGTATTAAGGAGTCGAAGACCATGGTAGAATAATAGACTAAACAAAACCTTTCCTGTACACAAAGTCTGGTGTTGTATTAATGAATCTCCACAGTCTCCACCATACAAACACAGGTAGGGAAACGTAACATTCCGTATACCGATAGGGCACAGTTTGCACATAATTTTAAAAGAGCACTCGTGTGCAGCTGTGTGGTTAGGGTTTGCAAGATAAAAGTTTCAGTTAAACTATTTTGAGAAACGAAAATTTCACACTTATTACATATATATCTACATTAAAATAGACTTCATGCATCTGATACCAATCAGTTGATTTATAAAGGATTTCATCATGAGCTGACATCGGTCGGAGAACCATTGGAAAACCTGAGAGTATTGGAATGTAGTCTCCTCCCATTTTGAGACTCCTCATTGAACCCGAATACAAGGTGACCTTGTAGACTATGCAGCCACTGGAATCCAATCCGATACCCAGTTCGCGAATTCTCACTTCTGCCAATTCATGATTCTAGCGCGATTGGCACCAGCTAGTGTCATTCGTGGTGAGTATTCTTCCTCAAACTTGACGTGGTGGATCACACTGGTTATGACTTCCCTCTAGAACCTAGGTGACTACCTACCTGAATAGGACCAGTCACTAGTGAACATGGGATTGTTGTACAAGTATTGGTTTGCAGGATTCGATGGGACGAAACAGCCGCCCGGTATTCTCATGCTTTTCAGTGGTTCTGTAACCGAAGTCAGTGCATGAGAAAATCCTATAACCAGTCAAATCCCTGTCAGCCAACATCTGATTTATAAGGCTTAGAATTAGTTTTTTCTGTCTTACTTGGCTCGTGGAAGCTAGCGACGGTTAGTAACTGTGTATAATTCGACACAGAAATGATTTCCATGATGGTATCTATACTGATTAACATAAATAATTGAAAGCCACTCTCATCAACCAGTAGCGCTTACTGGCCAAATCAAAGTGATCTAAACAACAGACACCCACTTCATCAGGCTTTGGCAAGAGTGAATATGTCTTATCTTCATCAGGCTCTTCAATACTTGTCGTATTTCTCAAGGTAGAAGCATCACCTGACTTTATTAATCAAGGAGGTGAAACAGCTAAATGTGTTGACAGCCTTATTTATCTAAGAATGCAGCAAACCTAGTAGGCTGATTACTAACAAAGTTTTAGTCTCTGACTACCAATTTAGGCGTCATAAGAATTTTGTGTAACTCTTCTGCACTCTCTGAGGAACTAAGAATAAATAACTGCAGACTGTTGGTAACACTAGTGTGGTGTCATTTTGTTTCTGTTCTTTTGTTTTATATACCTTTTCGTAGTGTTGGAGCTTGAGTAGGTGCATTTCTACACAAGGTTCAACACTTACCCAACAGTCAATTTTGAAATAATTGCTAACCTAATACTGTGAAATGTTCTTTAAAATACTGACAACTGTCTTACTGTGAGTTACAGATAGCATAACTTTAAAGTAATATTGCTTCTTTTGTTTACTAGGAGATGAGTAAAGGTGTTAGTACGTTTTTTCGTTCTTCAGGGGCTATAAAAGTTGTTTAAGCTTCTTATGGTAAGTCGCAAATAGGTCACCAAAACGCTATTCAAGTCTGTTCATCCTCTAATTTGCTGTCACTAGATTTTTACGAAGTTGAAGCAGTTTGAGAATTTGCATACTGGTGCAAAATAAAGTTGGGTGAACCGATCGTTTATCCAGTGTTGTGGTGAATAATAAATTCTATTACTGTATTCTTCAAATCTTCATTGTTGTTTATTAATATTTATCATATGACTACAATACAAATAATTTTGCCGAATACAAATTCCTGACATCTGTTCTCTCAGTGTCACTCTTTGGTTTTCTGGAATTTGGCCATTGTGAATTACAACCAAAATCAGATGTCTTTTTATACGGCAACACTGCACATTTGTTAAGATAAAATGGTCCCAAACCTAACCATCATGGCATGTCATTCAAATAGTTAACTCACGAAATAACTGTCAAGAAATACACGCCCACAAACAGATTATTACAAGGGACTGCTAGGCGTTTCCCACAATTTATCGACTTTTAACCCCTCATCACTAAATGTTTTCCCGTCATGCCGTACAATGGTACCATTTTCGGCATACATTAGGATGGCTTATGCAGAAAGAACATTGAAACTCACCATTCGATCCCCGGCCAACGCACTCCTTTATCTCGCTAAGCCGGAAATAATGCTGGCATGAAGCTAGCAACCCCATCCTGTTGAAATAAACACTGCTGTAGAAACTTCAAGCCACCAGCTTGAAGCCCTATGTTCCACTGGGAACGTGAAGGAAAAAAATGATAGAAAATCAAGTCAAACTGATGCGACGACTGGACTTGAAGAACTCATTTCAAGCAAACTTAGGACTTAAAAGATATCCATACAACTTATATATTTAAAGAAACAAAATTTAAATTTTGAATTAAGGAGGTAATTTCCCCATAAAAGCCAGCCACACTATCATTCCAATACTTTTTAAAAAGAACTTACAATCTGTTGCTCTGAAAATTTCCTAATCCAAGTAATTAGCTTTTCCTTCATTCTTGGTTCAAAGTTTCCTGTATTAGCGAAAGTTTCGATTAACGTTTCATTCACAAAAGATTCTTCGTCAGCATTTTCGAAAGGACTCCATTTGTAAGAGATAAAGTCCGAAGACTGGTTCTGAATGAATATGCTTGATTTTGCTTGTAATCCGATGAATGTTTCATTCATTTTCACGCTGTCATCTTTCAGTTTTACCAAGGCCTCTATTCCTTTGCCACGGAGTTCTATTTTTAGTTTTTCACCTGTAGGAGAATCTAAATGATCATAATGCATTACCTACCAGTATCATAAATAATTAGCATCTTTCTGGAAATATCGATTGCGCTTTCAGGAATAAAAGAGATCACAATTTCTTCAAGAGAACCAGGTTCAATTTTCAAAACTACAGGCTCAACGAGAAAAGGTCTGAAGTTAAAAACTAATGAGATTTACTTCATGATATCAATTTTCACCAAGGCTACACCATCCCCAATGTTTCTTATTCCAAGCACTCTTTTACTCAGCTTTTTAACTGGAACTTCTCCGAAATCAACTTCGTCAGGTAAATCAAGAACAGCCCTTGGACCAATACAAAATACCGGTATAGAAAATAATTCTCTGTCTGTCACACACATAAGATCATGGTGATAATCTTGGTGTGCATCTGGAGTGAAGACGACAGAATAAGAAAGAGATAAACCTGCAGCGACTTTAGACCCATGTGCACCCAGACGTTTGATTTTAAAATATGGTGTATCATTTTGTATGAGATGGGCTGTTCTTGAGACCTAAAATTTTTATTTAATGCAAGTTATTTCTACAAACCTTATCCATGTTGCGAAGTAGTAGAGGCAATTCATATGATCTTCCCGGTTCGAAACGCTGAAATACGAGCTCAGAAGGGAAAGGTTGAAATAGTGGACGATCAACGGGAAATGAAGTGATCTTGGGAAAATGAAAGTAAGGGTTAATATTACCTTTTGATCTCCAATCAGAGACATATCATGAAGTGCAAGTGTTTCAGGTACATGACCATATATTAACTGCTTATATAAATCTTCAGATGACAGTGACATTTTGTATATGAACTCTGAGGGTTTAAGCTGATTTATTAGGAAATTTACAAATACACATTAACTCACTGGAATATTGTCATTATGTTTGTTCAGCAGAATATTCCCTGCTATTGTTTCCCGTTTGCTACATTTAGAATTTCCAAAATTAATCGGCGAAGGAATGATTTCTTGAAAATCGAAAACAAGAGAATCAGTTGTGGACATTGTAGAGTAAGTTTTGAATTGCAGACGTGTGTTGTTATGACAGCAGAGGCAAAGGTCATTTGTCCAATGTTCAATATCTAATATCCAGTATCTTTTTCACTAGTTAGGGCTCCAATATATAATACCCAGCACCGGTTTTACGAGTTAGTGTAAATCAATTTGATTTCTTTATGCTAGCTTCTTGACTGTGAGGTAGAGGTTCCTGATCATCGGTAAACTTCTGTGTAGCTCGTCCCGCCACTCGACTGCCATAACTTTGATTGACACCAGAAGAAGCGGTGCTTGGATTGATCATATGTTGTTTGTAGTATATGGTGTGTTAAGACTTTGTTGATTCTTTCAGCAGTTAGTTCTCCTGTATCGTCGTCAAATGAAAAGAGATAATAATAATATACATAATTAATGTAGGTTGTGCAGACTGAAAGAGAGGAAAAGAAGTAGGGGAAACGCAAAAACAGACAGCCAATTGAATTTGAAGTTGATCTATGTATACACACATAAATAGATTTATGTATATATTATCAATAATAATAAGTGTAAGTGTAATAGTTGGAGTAGTCAGGAGAGTAAGACAGGAGAGAACGTAAAGAAGTGAAATGACGAATTTAGATGTATACCCAGGAATGGTGTACGTGGTTTTAAGGAGATAGCCCATTTGGACGCAAACCTTGTGTCGCTGCATGATTCACAGCCTTCGTTTAAAGCTGTCCACAGACGGTGCCGTAGCTAAATCTACCGGTAAGGAGTTCCAGGGATGGCAAACCCACAGTGAAAAGAAGTGGGAGCGCACTCGATTTCTTGACCTCTGGTGAGCTACCCTCCTGGGATTTCCACGAGGAAGCCCATATGTATTTAATGGCAGAACACCCTTGTTAAGGTGATTCTGATCATCTGTTATCTTGTAGGCAGTAATCAAGTCCCCCGTTGCTAGCCGATGGTAGCTAGGCGCGAACAGGCCTAATTTCTCTTCTAAGCAGTGGAGGTGCAATGATATTATGGACTTCAGGGTGTGGACTGACGTATGTTTTGTACAACCTTAGAGAGATCTCAGGAGTGAGTGCACTTGTCTACCTGTAAAGTGAATTACCACATACGCCCTCGCTACATCGCCAGTGTAATTTACGTTTGTGTCTTTTTTCCACTAGAACTATACCTAAGTCACGCTCCGACGTTGTGCAGGACAAGCTTTCATTGTGCAGGGTGTAACTTGCATTCTGCAGCCTACAGGTGCTTAATTTCATTACTTTGCACTTTTTCAGATTGAAAGTCATACCATTGGCCACCGCACAGTCTTCCAGAGGCTTTAGCTCTACCTACAATCTATCTGAGTCTTTCGAACACTTTATCGCTCTCTATATCTTGATGTCGTCAGTGTAAAGAAGGGTCTGGCAGCCAAGACAGCATGGTTTGTCGTTGATAGGAAACAGAGATATCAGTGGCCCTAGGATAGAGTCCTGCAACACTCCCGATGACGAGCTGAGCCAGGGTGATAGGGCTGTATTGACTTTAGTGCGGAATTCCCTTTCAGCCAGGTAGCCCTTCAACCATCCAATATCCAATATCGTTTTTACGAGCTAGTATAAACCAATTTGATTTCTTTGTGCTCGCCTCTAGACTGTGAGGTAGAGGTTCCTGGTCTTCGGTAAACGTCTGTGTAGCTCGTCCCGCCACTCGACTGTCGTAGCTTTGGTTGACTCCAAAAGGAGTAGTGTAGGGATTAATCATATGTGGTTTGTAGTATGAGGTGTGTTAAGACTGTTACTACTGTGAATGGAGTTGATCCTTTCACCAGTTAATCCTTCGGTATCGTCGTCAATAGTAAAGAGATAATAATAATAATAGATATAATTAGTGAAGGTATTCAGACTAACAGACAGAGAAAGAATAAGAAAACGTAACAACAGTCAGTCAACCGGTATACATATATACCAGTAATAATGATAATAATAATTGGGTGTAGTTAAAGCTGTCAGGAGAGTAAGATGGAAGAGAATGTAAAGAAGTAAAACGGACGGTTTAATTGTCTACCCTTGAATGGTGTATGCGATTTTAAGGGGATAGGCCATTTGGATGCAGTTCTTGTGTTGCTGCATTGTTGTCCAGCCTTCGCTTAAGGGCGTCCACAGATGGTTCCATAGCTACATCTGCCGGTAATGAATTCCAGGGACGGCAAACCCACAGGGAAAAGAGGTGGAAGCGCACCCGGGTCCTTGCTCTCTGATGAGCTATCCTTCTAGGATTTCCACGAGGAAGCCTATACCTACTCAATGGCAGAACACCTTTGTTTGGGTGAGACTGATCATTTGTTATTTTGTAGGCAGTGATTAAATCCCTCCTCAGGCGACGGTAACTGAGTGTGAATAGGCCTAATTTCTTCAGCCTTTTGTCATATGGTTTATTTCGGAGACCAACCACTCCTTTTGTTGCCCGTCGTTGGACTCTTTCCAAGAGGTTGGCGTCTCTTTTGAGCAGTGGGGGTGCAATGATATTATGCACTTCAAGATGCGGTCTGGCGTATGTTTTATACAACCTTAGAAAGAGCTCAGGAGTGAGTGCACCTAATTGTCTATGTGTAAAGTGTATGACCGCATATGCCCTCGCTACATCCCCCGTGTAATTTACGCTTGTGTCCATTTTCTCCCTTAGAACTAGACCTAAGTCACGTTCCGACGTTGAGCAAGACAAGCTTTCATTGCACAGGGTGTAACTTGCATTCTGCAGTCCACAGGTGCGCAACTTCCCTACTTTGCACTTTTTCAGTTTGAAAGTCATGCCACTGGTTACCGCCCAGTCTTCCAGAAGCCTAAGATCTGCCTGTAGCCTTTCCGAGTCTTCCGGACACCTCATTGCTCTCCACATCTTTACGTCATCAGCGTATAGAAGAGTCGGGCAGCTTAGACGGCATGGTAAATCATTGATAAAAATCAAGAACATCAGTGGTCCCAGGATAGAACCCTGCGACACTCCTGATGACGAGCTGTGCCAAGATGATGGGACTCGATTGACCTTGGTGCAAAATTGCCTTTCAGTTAGGTAGTCCTTCAACCATGACAGAAGTGGTTTACCTAGACCTACCTGGCTTATTTTGTGTAGGAGAAGGTCATGGTGAACAGTGTCAAATGCCTTCTCAAAGTCTAGAAAGATCACATGGACTGGAACATTCATATCCCAGCATGATGTCCAGTCGTCCCATGCTGATAGTAAGTTAGTGACGCAGGATCTTCCTTTCCTGAAACCATGTTGGGCTTCATGGAGTATTTTAGACCTATCCAGATATTCCCTGATGTGATCATCAATAACACTTTCCAGTACTTTCGATACCACTGGGAGTAGAGCTACTGGTCTATAACTGGTGGGATTTTGCCTATCCCCACCCTTGAAGATCGGAGAAAGGATGCTTCTTTTCCATTCCTTTGGCAGTTTCCCCGATTCCATGGAGTGTTTGAACAAGTCGCATAAGGGCGTGCAGAGAGCTTCGGCGCACTGTTTCAGAACAGATGGCCTGATGTCATCACAACCTGGGGACTTCCCAGGTATGAGTCGCTGCAGCTTTCTCAGTACTATCGCAGGGTTTATTTGGGGGGTGGCTATTTGGTCTTCCTCCTGTGAAATAGTCATGCCACCATTTTGGTTCGTAACGGTAATACCCACATTGCTGTTTAGCTGTTTGTAGAAGGCTAAACTGAATGTTTCAGCCATCTCCAGACTAAAGAGATATTGACCGTTTTGGCCTACAAAGGCGCAAGCCCCTTGGTTGGTTGGTTTCCTTTCCGACATGAATCGGTACAGATTCTTCGGGTTTGCCAGGAGTTTTTTAGCAAGGTTAGCCTGGAATGACCTTCTGTCCCTCCTGACTCTTGCATTGCACCGGTTCCTGAGTTCCAGGTATGCATCATGGTCGATCTGGCTTTTAGATACGTGCCACGTACACCAAGCCTTCCGCTTTGCTTGCAGAATACGCTGCGCGCCTCTATTTAGCCATGATGATTTTCTTTTGGGCTGTGCTGTGACTAAAGGGACGGTCTCCGAGATTACTGTATGAATAATCTTTTTTACCGCTTCCCAGTGTTCATCCACAGACAGCTCATCCCATGCTAAGGGCCAGTCTGCATCAGACAAGAGCCTCCGCACTTCAGCATAGTCAGCCTTGCTGTAGCACAGACATGGTTGCGTGACGTCCCACTGCAAGTGCTCACGGAGAACTAGGTCGAAACCTATGACTGCATGGTCACTACTTCCTAGAGGAGTCATGACCTGGACCTTTTCGACGAGTAGGTGGCCACTAGTTAGAATGCAGTCTAGTTTTGATGACTTTCCACTAGGGCCCCACCTAGTGTCGTCTCCAACGTTCTCAGTCAGTCCCGTGTTCCGAATAGCTTGCAGTAGATTTCGGCCGAATTTTCTCTTAGCATACCCCGAGCCAAGGTTCAGTGATGGGGCATTGAAATCTCCAGCAATGGTGATTTGGTCATAGCCCAATTCTCGTATCCCTGTGATAGTGCTGAGCAGTAGTTGATTGTGCTCTGCCTCACAGGTGGGAGATCGGTAGATGCCACCAAGTAAATGCTTGGTGTGGCCTACGGTGAAATGACACCATATGGAGTCCGGGAGTTCAATAAGTGGTGGGTCCGTTGCGCGCACACATTTAAGTTGCCTATCAAAGTATATGGCAACTCCCCCTCCTTCCTTATAATCCCTGTCTCTCCTGACCAAAACCATATCAGTAGCGGTACGTCCAACGTTTGCGTTACATTTTTGCGTGATTCGTTACATAAAATTTATCTTGTTGTAATCCTCGCACAAGTACTCTACTACCCGCATACCTATAACTATTAACTATCATATCAAATAGTTATGGTTAACCAAAGTAAAAAGCAGCGAACTCAATCCCCTGTAAAACTGATGACTAATTTTAAGTCGTTGATTGCTACATCAAGCAACACACTTCCTACGAATGGTTATAGTGAGCCACAAAACTCACTTGTATGTCGTAAGCGTCG